CTATCAAAGCTGCTGCTGAGCTAATCGAGCCTGGAGCAGCCTCTGCCAACTTAATGAGCTAAAGACATCTACATCTGACAGGCCAGACAGGCACAGTTACAGGTTTTTAAGAAGCCAACCACCTATCCTTAGTCTAAGTGAAGAATGATGTGAGTATCCTGATCAAATTTCACCAAAAGCTATGACATTCTAATTAGAAAAAACAGTTCTGTGACCTGTATAACAGAACATTCAAGTGGTAGCAGGGGAATTGACAATACATAAATGCAACTGCATACAATAAGATAAATATCTCTCTCCCTCTCTTTAAACACCCAAATTCTTCACCCACAGTCACATATCACATGAGCTCCTGAACTACACAGTGCCTGGAAGAATAAAAGGAGGGAATGAGGGGGGAAGAGGTCTGGAGCAGTGTGATTGGTCTGATATAAGGATAAACACTTCAAACTCTGCCCCTGCACTCATGTGTTTCTCAATGGGCTCCAATTTCCACCCCCATAAACTGTAAAGCTATTTTTAAAACATCTTTGGTGTACAATTTAATAGCAAGCAATAAGTTGATTTAGTCCTACAATTGTGCTAGAAATTACCCCCCAAATAGCAGGGATGACCATTGAGGGCATGCTGGTGTTTGGTCCATTCCCCAAACTCTAGGACACTAGTGCTGGTTCATTGTTGGAGACGCTGCTACAGAGAGGAACCCTCATTAAAAGGCAGTATGCTTCACACAATCATCCCCTGCACTTCAATGCGCTGTCATGCCGTGATGTATCGCTCGGCATGGGGGCTACCAAGGCCTTTATTCCCACTCTCTCTTCCATGTTTCTCGCTCCTGGCCAATTAAAAACCCACTGGAATAAGTGAGGAAGTGGCACACAGCATTGCGCAATTTGCAGAAAGGGGCCTGATGAAAAAAAAGTCTCTCTCTTTAGTCTGCCTCACAGCTGCAGGACAACGTCTGTGAGTCCACAGAAAATATTATTCTCAACACTTCGCGGTCACTTTACAATCTGATCACACATGCTATATTGGCAAATACCAGAAAATGCAACTCTGAATTTTACATAAGTTTGACAGGCTTGCTAAATATTGCTATTCATGCTATTTGATCTTGGAGTGACACTGAAGATTATAAAGCAACTCATCTGTGACGAGAAGCCATCAATCAAACCTCTGCAAGTCACTGACAAGGCGGACATATTTTTGACACGTTTTAAGTAAGCTACAAGGAAACTAAAAACAGCAATTGTGTAGTTTTAACATAATTTTGTTACAACTTGTATTCATTATTTAGTTAATTAGTCTTCAGTGTGTGAGTATGTATTAGAGCATTAATGAAGTTAAACATTAAAGTTCTAAAGTAAATTTGCTGTTTTCTCCTTGTTCAAATTTCAAACTTGACTTTGATACCACGAAAAAAGCTTGATACAAATTTTTAGACAATTTAATGCTATTTTTCAACACAGAATAATTGTAGTTTAAGTTTTCCATGTGTCCATTTTGTTTTATTTTTTAATTCTTCCAAATGGATACCAGTTCAAGTTAATATCAATACTAGTTTTAGTGTTGATCTCTCAATCAATTAATATTTTTATAAACCTCTCTGTCAATGAAGGATTCCCATGCTATATCCTTATTGTACAGTCTTGTTGTCTTGGGAAACTCTGGGAAGCTGAAGCTGTATTGGGAAAATATGAAAAAGACATTGTTATACCAGATCAGTAACTGTATTAACAGTTAGATAAACTCCAGACTTATTAGATCTAACACTGGAAGGATATGAACACAAACTAGTCAGAATTACTTTTTTTTTTTCTTTGACAGACCTTAAAGACCACATAAATAGAATCAATTCTCTCAAACCATGGGTAAACACACAACATATAACATCTGTGTTGCATTTTGGGTTCACTGGTGTCTCTACTTCTTATGTTGTAACCTCTTCCCTGACACGCTTCTCTGAGCTTGACCTGTTAATTTGTGGTGGTTGTCAGGACGATAGGGTCACGACGTGGATAAATGGCTGAAGAGCAGAAGAAGAAACGGAGGCTATAGCTAACGCACACTCCCGCCTGGCTACTTCTCATGCTGCCCGTGTCACTCAGCCTGACACCATAAATCTCACTTATTTTCAGATCCAACTGAGACACAGGCAGAAATTACAGGGCCCAGCGCATTACCAGGCTCGGTGGTGCGCTGAATGCTAACAGAGAGATCCTTGATAAAGCGGACAGGCAGTTCTAGCTCAAGATTATTGGACAAAGACAAACTCCTATCTACAAGACTGTGGCGAGTAACGAAAACACAAACGCCAGCAAATGAAATCAAGTAGTGTCGGGATTCTAAAAACAGTCATACTACATCTGATATAACTATTTGGCCTAAATTAGGGATGGGTGATATATCGGTTTCAGTATCATTATCAGTATCAGAAGATACCAATATCAATTATTTGATATTGTTATCGACTGATGTGGGTACTTGATACCTATATTCTTATTTATTTATTTATTTATTTTTTTATTTATTTTGGCACTGCCCCATTCTTTGTGTGCACTTTTTCAACAGACCAATTAGTAAAAATGGAAATACAGTGTTATATGGCTATATGTTACAGTAAAAAATTGTATATTCCAGTAAAATACATTTTATTATTATTATTATTTTATTAATTTTTTTACAAAAGTGAAAAGTTAAACAAAAAAATTTGAAATTAACTTAAATTTGTGGACCTCATGTGGATTTTAAAAGTCCAAACAAATGTCAGATATTGGTATTTCAGAAAATCCATATTGGCCCATGCCTAGCCTAAATAATTACTAAAACAGTAATAACTCAGTTAAACAGAACAGAAATAAATCAGTTAAACCCAAGACGAGAAGTCAGGACCCCCAAAAATAACCATACAACGAACTTGCTACCTCCACTTGCAGTGTGTTAAAACAGTTTTAATGTTGTTTGTTTGAACAAAAACAACAACAACAACAAAAATAACTCAAGGTCATCATTTTAGAAATACTTCTTGAAATAATCTTGGGACCTATAGCTCAGTGCCTTGCAACCCCCCCATGCTAATTTTGGCATTTATCGCAGTTATTTCTGCATCAGTGGGTTCATCTGCATGAAGGTTGCATTGTTCTTTTTATCAAGCATTTGTTGGTCTAATTTCATCTGCCTCCAACAGTCTCAAGTAGCCCATGTAATCAAGTTCTGAAAAGCCAACAAAGCCAAAAGATTAAATTAATTCCACACAATCCTCCCATTCAAACTAATATATGAAAGTCAGATGCAGACCACCATTGGGTATACAATTCTGCATAATACTGTCACACACCATGCGACTGAAATAAAAACCCATTTGAAGATTTGAAGGTATTTGTTATTCCATCCTGTGGCTCAAATAACAGTCATATTCCAGAGCAGCAAGGACTGTAATTGGTGCAAGTATGAAGCTGGGTTCCATTCAAGCAAACTTAATTCTCTCTGATACACAAATGTAAAGGCTATAGTCAGAGGCAGATTATAATAGTGTGTACTTCAATTGCAAATGTGAAAATGCAGTAATATCAAGGCACTCACTCTTGCTTTGGTTCCATCACCAAAGAACCGTTTCTTCAAACACCATTCTAACATGTACATCAGTGACTGCACTTGCAGTTATTTATTTAGCCAGATATTGAAAAAAAATAAAGATACACTAACTCTTTTCTCACCTGCTGCCTATACAAGAGATTCAGTTATGTCTTGCATTTATTACATTAGAGGTGCTCAAAATACCCTGAAAAACATACATTGTTACAGCAGAATGCCTTTATCACATCTGACCTGTAACTTGGCCTAATGGGTTATCTCCATGGAGATAGATTTAATGCCATACTCTGGAACATTACAGGCAAACTTCACGGATACAAACAGGTACCCACATTACACATGTCTTAGTGCCATGTGCAACGTATATGTGTGTATTTTATTTTATTTTAAATTTTGCTGCTACAACTTGGGAGCCCTTGCAGTCTGTTGGGTCATTTGCTAATGCATTTACTGTGTTAGTCGCATTTCAGGATAACTCAGCATCGTAACAGTGTTAGTAGGCCTATAATATGTTTAAATATAACCTCGTTTAATTGCCACTTCTCCATGTTTGAAATAATGTGTGCTCCTGTCTAACCTGTCTGTGTAAATTGAGCTTCCTGGGGCATTTACATAGAAGACAGTTGGAGTCGTCTTCTGCCAAGGTTCTATTAAAAGCACAGGGGGACAGAGAGGATTGAAATGACTACATTAACCTATGCAATGAAAAGCTCTGTGAATAATGTTTCTTAATGTGCTGTAGTATCTTGGCTTTGCGTGTGAGTCAATTAAAAGTTAAATATTCTCTACCAACCTATCATTTTGATGACTAAATGAGGCTCATGGTAATTATCTCTTACACAACGCAGATTGTATAGCAGTGAAATTAATGTTGAAAAGTTGTAATTAGCACAAAAATATTATACTTTGCAGTTTGATGAAGTGCAACCCATAGAGTAGCACTATATTTTCAGCAGATGTGTGTAAAGCAGCAATACAGTACTTTCAGTGTGTATGTGGTTGAAGTAATTATCTACAGTTACCTATAAAGTATGTTAGTAGAATACATTTTATACACAATAATTTTATAAATTATGATGTACATCTAATGAAATCCCATTATGCTATTATTGAGTAAAATAAGCATAAAATGCATTTAATTTAACCTACATTTTATTTTTACTAAAGTAAATTGTTTGCATTGTTGCCATTTGTTCCACAGTGATGTATCTGATTTTGGTGCGAATAGGTGAATCATACATTTTGAACAATGTGAATCCAGGAGCCGTCAGTCATTAGCAGTCTGCAGTGGCGTCTCATGTCACAGCTGGTCATCTATAAAACTCCAATCTTCTCCACAGGGCTCTGCTGCCCACAGTCACCAGTCCTGTGTATACTCCTGAACTGCCTCTGTTTCTCTGTTTCAGGAGTCGGAGATCCTGAACACGGCCATCCTCACAGGGAAAACTGTGTCTGTCCCTCTCAAAGTGGTGACAATCGGAGTGGACGCCTCCTTCAGAGATGTGTCTCAGAATGTGTCATGTGTGTCCACTGATGAAGATGTGGTCAAGGTCAGTAACATAACACCATGACTAAGCATCACCTTTACTGCAGACAGGCATTTATGAGCATTTTCTAAATCTAACTCCATAAACACTGGAAATGATTGGCTTCTTGATGTGGTTTGCCTAATGAATATCTGGTTTACCAAACAGCACACAGCAGGGTTTCCATGATGTGAGGATTTGAACGTGTGCTCTGTGTTTCATTTAGCACATAGACAGTAATTAATTCAAATGAACATTTGAGAGTGCACCTCTGTGATCACTGCTGTCTTATTATTTGTAAACATGTTTATCTCACTTGTAATGTCACTGCTGGGATTAATTTGCTCCTTTGGAATCTCTTGTGAAGTGAACATGAAGTTCCAGTCATGTTATCCAGAAAATACATTAATTGGTTAGTGCTTCGGCTTTAGCATCTGAGCAATGGGGCTGATGAGTTGGATGAGCACACGTGTTGTCTGTGAGATGTTTCAGCGGGTAACTGTTGTGTGGATTCATATGTGTATGACAAATATTTGTGAGGTTTCAATTTGACAAATTTTTATCTATTGTAAATATACTACGTTCTATTCATGACACACTATAGAAAAAGACAAATACATTGTCCATTCAATGTTCCCTGAGTCCCTGTTATGCATTGTCTAGTGTCTACAAAATAACTCTGACTGCATATTAGATTTTCTGAGCACAATGGGACTACAAAATAATACCAATGTTTCTTCTAATAATTATCTCAAAGGAAAATCTTTGAGTAAATATCTGAAATATCTCTGATCTAAAAATCCTCAGTGCATTTAGATAAGAGACATTTATGCTCATTTCTCTGCTTCAACTTGACAAGAAAAGAAACAGTGAAACAACAGCAGTGTTAGACCAACTCTGTGTTGGATATTTAGGTACATTTACCATGGCTGAGCTGTCAGCTACAGTACAGTGTAAGAATTTCAGTATGCACAAGCACAGTAAAAACCTTACATTCCAAGAACCGCCCCCTCTAACCTTTCTAGTTTTAGTCTGGGACCATATCTATTAACATGACTAATTTATTTAATGTAAAACTGGGGATTCAGCAAGAAGTAAACATTAATAATAAATACCTGTGTACTCACATGTTGTAAAGTAAAACACATAATATTCCCTACACCTGTACAACAACTCACCTTATGTATCAGATAATACTCCCTAGATCTGTACAGCTCACACTTATGTAACAGATAACACTATGTCCTCTTAATCATCATATCACCTTTACACAGTTTTTCTTTCGACCTCTTGTATATAGCTGATTTTTTTTAATTTTATTTTTCCTTACATTTATATAATTATACCTAACTTAACACCAGTCTCTTGTTTTTTTTTTAAATTATTTTATTTCTCTTATGTTGGGATGTGCGAGTGACTCTGTCCAAGTAATTTCCATTGTGCATTAATAAAGTCTGTCGAAGTCTAAGTCTAAAATGTCCGATGAGGTTTTCACTGGGTTACTAATTTTACACAATAAAAAACAATGTTGTCATTATATCTTAACAACTATTGATCAGTTATAGACTTTCCATAGCGATGATGATGAAAGCATGTACTAGCCTGAAGGTATCTAGAATGTGCAGTTAAGTTTTCTGAATTTTCTTGTGTCTATTGTGGAGGAAGAGATTGAACAAATGCTATGGGCGCATCATTTTTCTGTCATAAAATACCAGAACAATATGTGCACTCATTTCCTACATTCTGACAAATAGGCCCTGAAGTGTAAATGTCAAGATCGGATGTGGTAGGAAAATAATTGTCAGCTCTAGCATCCTGCGTACATAATATTGATTAGCTTTAGATCTGGTCAATTAGGCGCCCATGGCTCCAGTCAGGTGGGCCCAAGTCTAATGCCAGCCTAATCCCAGAGCTTGTAAAACTTGTGGGAGAAGTGGCAGACTAAAGAACTGTCAGAGACACTTGAGTCTGGGCAGACGAAGAGGAGCGAGGGGTAAAGAGTGAAGGAGAGGAACAATGAGGACTGATAAGTAGTAGGCACTCTGCTGACATCTTCATTAGTTCAAACACATCCCACAGAAGGGGGCAGTAACTACAAACATTTACACAAATTATTTTCTTATACTGTTGATATAAGAATGTTAAGTGTGTAGAAATGGTGTAATAGTAATTAGTATTGATTTGTGTAATAGTAAATGTTGAAACAGAGCAAGTGAAAGTAGTTACTTGTAGTAATCACAGTGGAATTAGCAGCATTCTCCTTGATGAGCATGACTATGATTTTTTTATTATTATTATTATTATTATTATTATTATTACTTATTTATATTGTACTTTATTTTTACTTATACATATACATTTATATAATTATGCCTTATTTGATATCAGTCTCTTGATATTTTTGTTACTTAATTAAAATATATGATTACCATTTATATTTTTTCCTCTTTGTTATTCTTATAATATTGTGATGTGTGTCCTACTGTGTAAAAGTGATTTCTCTTGTGGATTAATAAAGTTTGTCTAAGTAAGTACTTTTGGATAAACTTGATCATAACTGCACTATTTGCAGCCTTAATAAAGACTTTCATTCATAATAACAAATAGTTCATTAAGTAGATTCAAACGTAGTAACTACTTTTAGGTTTAGGTATAAAATGAATAGTTATAAAGCCTGAATAATTATTTATAAACTATAAATTTATAAAGCACTTTCTATGCTTCATTAAAGTGTTTCTGTACTTTCCCTTCAATGATAATGGGGTGACAAATGTACTTTCACTTCCACTTCCCCTTCTGCTATATATTATTGTCATGCCTGTGAAAGCCCTACCTCTCCCCTCCTGCTCGCCCGCCCTCACACAAATGTTCAAAAGGCTCATTACGCATCGCTGTCATTTTGTATTACAATACTACGCTCCACTGTGTGTGACCAATCTCCTATTATGTACTGTATGTCTGTGCACTCTTCAGCTTTATTAACAAGGAAGAAGTATCCACTGATCCTGAGTGTGTGCACCCTGGAGGACTGGCATATGCAGTCCTTAGTTAACATGGAAGTTCTCTGAAGCCTGATCTAGTCCTGAAGAATCCCCTGCTGTAAAACTATAGGGATCCCTTAGACTAAGACATAGAGCTCAGACAAATCCACTGTGATTCACGATGTGGTGCTGAAATATAGAAAAGCTTTAGAGGAATTTACATGTGGTTATGGTAGTACTATGATAAATATCCAGAGAAAATGGTTGTTACAGTCTGAATTGAATCGTAAAGTTACTAAGAGCTCTCCTTGCATAAGAAGTTTTTGCAAAAAGTTTTTATGTCTAAAATTGGTACATTTCTAAATATCATGAAGTTAGGGCTGCACAATTTTTGCAAAAGAAAAAAAAATCTAATCTGAATCTTTTTTGAGACAAGTTTTATGATTGCAATTTGCAATATATGTTTTAAAAGTAGGGTTCTTGATAACTGATAGTAGTACAACAGTTCCATGAATTTCAGATATTAGTAATGATTTGCAGATACAATTAAATTGTTCTTTTAAAAAGACACGATACTGTGATTTAAATAATTGCAGGCTTTGTAATTTGATAATTGCACTGATTGAACTGATTTGATTGCAATATATAGTGCATCCGACTTGAAGTAGCAGCAGTGAGTAGTAAGTACTGTAACAGAAGTGGTATATAATTACAACAGTGCAGAGATAATGGTGTTGGATTTGTTTTCCACATTGGTAAATATATCATTGTATTATTTTTTAGCAGAATAATAATGTCTTCTCTTATCTAAAACATTTGAACATTGTTTTGACCATATCTACAAAACTGTCACACAAGTATATAGTATATAGGCACATTTCATTCTGTATTTCATGTTTACTTCTTGGTTAAGTGGATGTGAAGGGTAAGAAACTCACATAAAGCCACAGAAAAGTCAGATTTTCTCCAACTCACAGAGGACATCCTGCTGCTGCTGTGATGAATGACTGTGCCACTATGGAGACATTACTTTAAGTTGTAAAAAGACATTTCCCTGGACTATTTAAATAGATCTGCTTAAAGAGATCTGTGTAGTACTATAACGGGGAGTTATAATCATCTTGTGACAGTCACACAAGAAAGAATGTGAAATTTATTTTTAAATAATCAGTTGGGAGATGGTGTCATGTAGCTCAAGATTGCTTTGGAAAGTTGCCTTGATTGTCTTTACACTCTTAAAAAAAACAACAACAGAAGATCAAGCTGCAGTGTGGTTTGTTCAGGTTCAAAGGCATCTTGGCTACCCCCTGCCTCCTTCTCAAGAGCAAGGAGCAAATAGAGGCTTTCATCTCTTCAAAGCAGGACTACAGTCACCACACAGGATTCACAGTGTACAAGTCTTATAATCAACAGTGTGTATATGCACTTTTACACAGTATTTTCTCTGGCCCGCAGGTGTCAGGCCGATGTGACTATGTCTATGTGAGTGGGAAGGAGATGAAGGGCAGAGTAAGGATGATGGTGAACTTCACCTATGGATATTTGAGTGCTCAGCTGGAGCTCAGCGTGTGGATCCCTCGGCTGCCCCTTCTGATGGAGGTCTCCGACACAGAGCTGAGTCAGATCAAAGGCTGGAGGGTGCCTATTACAGCCAGCACTCAGAGGTAAACACTACACTCTGCTGCTATACTGTTTGTGTATGTTATCATGCCATGCAATAACACCAGAAAGGTATTATCGTACCATGTGCAGGTATGTGGCTTTTGGTGAAAGAATCTTCATAACGGAATGCTGAAAAATATTACTGGTACCCTCAACTTACACTTTACTAGGATATTTCACCCCTTCTATTTGTCATGGTTCCACTGTTTTGTGTTGAAGGTTGAAGCGAGGCCATTGCAGGTGATACTTTTGATTTCAATCACAAGAGCTTTAAATAAGATAATGATAAGTTGTGTGAGCGAACACCTCTCAGTGACAGCCTAGGTGATAACAAAATGGCTGACCTGTGCACATGTGCTGTCATTACAGTGTTGTGAGTGGGGCAGAGCATTATTAGAGCTGTCTGTGGGTCAGACCTCTCTCCAGGGGCCTCATCACCATCAGCACCTCTGACAAATGCCACTGTGCAACACTGGCCTGCAACAGCTGAAATCCACCACCACAGTCCCCTATCAGTCTACCTGCTGTAATTACTGCTGGAACTGGTTGGACTTGGTCGTCCCACGCATGCAGCAGTATGGCTGCTCTAATTATCTGCTCTGTCCTATTCTGAGTGACAGAGGGACAGCATTCAGTGAACATCATCCTTGTCTCTATACGTCTCTCCAGCTGTGTGCTCCGCCTTTATCAGCAGGGACAGCCCCGTCACACTGTCACAGCACATGCCAACATGGCTGCTGACGGCACATACTTGTGTTTATTTCCCTGTCTTTAGCCAGGCTTTGTTTATCGGGGGATAACAGACATGACCTTGCCAACATTGTGCCTGTGGTGAGGACAGCCAGTGGTCCTCTGTGCATAGGCCCAAGAGCAGCTAACAAGCTGAGGGCCTTTTCTCCATTAGGTTCAGAAAATTATGGACACACAGTGGCAACAAAGCACAACAATGCAGACATCTGGTCTGTTATTGCAAGGTCAGAGAGTTTTGGAATATGCTGTGCCGGCACGTCTCACCTCTTTTCACTAAGTGTTGTCAAATACAAAGCATCAAAGACATTACACTGTGCTTGAGCCAATAGCACAGTACATTATCATTAATAAATTGCCTAGCCACTCTTATGCATATCTGTGGAGTCTCTTTTGTTTTTTATATGTTAACAGTACAAATTTGGGGGAAACTGTCACAAAGCCGCCTGTGTTTATAAATGATGTTTTTATTTTTGACCAAATGACCTTTGACATTAGAATGCTGCAGAAATCCAAAATAGGAACAACATATTTTCCACAGGGCACAACAGAAATAAGCATGACACACACATTCTTATGTAGCCTCTGAAGTCAGAGCTGCTTCAAAGTGAACTGAGCGTAAAGAAAAAAATGCAGCTTGTTCTTTGCACTGACTGTGATTTGTTTATTAGGTTAATCTTAGATTAGATTTGGAGATGGCTGCATATGCAATGGCATCTCCCATTTGTACTGGAGCTAAAGTGGCTAGACTTTACCATCAGCATCAGCAAAATCCATACAAAAAAATCCATATTAATATGCATAATGTACTGTCAAGTTGTAAAATGTGTGAACTGTGTGAGGACTGAAGAGGTGAATGTAGTAAATAAATTCTTACTTGTTTGTCTCACAAATTAGTAAGAATGCCTCAGTTATGTAGGAAACAGTTATTAACTGTGTTAAATGCAGTGAAATAAAGCTATCTTCTGTGATGGTGTTTTGGATTTAGTTTCTTGTATAGGTCCTGCTGCACACTTAAGAGACACTAGAGCCCAAGGATCAGTATTTTCTCTCCACCACCTTATAAGATGAGACATGTACTTTTCTAAATTTGCAAATACAACAATTGTGTGCAAATGTAATGATAGCCTAGTAGCACTATGACACAAGCATTTAAAGCTAGTTTGTCATTCTCTGGGCAATTTCCTACAGTGAAAATAGAGCCTCTGCGGGCTGATTTATTACCTCCAGTAATAAAATTAGATTTGCTAGCAACCATTACAGCAATCAAGAAAGCTATTCAGTAAGCAATAAGCAGGTGTATGCACATTCACAGTCCAGACAGACTGCTTCTCGTCGCTGAATGAACCACACTAAAAAAGAAGAATGAACTCGAGATTGGACTGATATCCAGGCTTAATTAGCCCAGCTTCATTATTATGAGAACTTCAGAAACAACAATGTCTGCAGTCACTGTAGAGCAGCCTTGTCCCCAAAAATGTTTGTTGTTGTGATTTGACTCTCACATGGTACAATCGATCAACAGTATCCACCTATAAGAAATTTCTTCTTTTGATCCTGGGGGTTACATCTCTGATTAATTGCTCTGGTAAGAAGAATAATTGAGGAACGATGACTAAATAATAATCATGAATTAACCTCTCAAACTCAAAGCTCAAGGATGTTTTATAATTTTTCCCCTTGAACTCTCTGGACATTGTTTAGTGCATCAGTTGTTTTCATGCACATACTACTGTGCAGTAGCATTGTTTGTGTTTTTTAATGAAAATCAGATAAATGAGAAACATGTATAGCCATCGAGCAAATATTCAGATATTTATTGGATTTGTTTTATCGTACTCCTCTTACAGAGCGGCCAGGGACAGTGAGGATGAGGAGGATGAAGACAAGCGTGGTCGCAGTTGTACCTTACAATACCAACATGCATTGGTGAGGATCCTTACGCACTTTGTGGCCGAGTCGGAGACGCGGGGACAGAGCAGCTACATGCTGGGCAGTGACTGGCAAGTAGACATCACGGAGCTTGTATGGGACTTCCTCAAAGTGGAGGACGAGCACATTGTACAGCTCATTGACAGGAGGACTCTGGCGGGCAGAGGCCCCGGCATGACCTCTATACAGGTGGGTCAAAGTGCACATTTTACATTTATCTTTCAGAAATGTTTTGTTTCTTTCATCACTAGGATGAAAATAACAAAAGTCTTCCTGTTTGTGTGCAGAACATTTGGGGGAGTTTAAAATTAGGATGGATATGCTCCCTGATGTTCCCAATCCATTTTTTTTTTCAAAATTAGCACTGCTCTATGCACATTGACTCGATCATTTTACAATAAAATATAATAAGAGATGTTTTAGCAGGCTCTTTACACCTAATTATATGCGCACATTTAACAGCAAAGTCACAATGCGCATAGATTAGGTCACGTGTACAACATACCAAAATGTATTGTAGAATACATTAAGTCAGCTCAAATTAGAAGAGCAATGTGAAAGCAACATATTTACTGGGGAGCAGCTGTGAACATCCCAGATTTAACATAAAAGAAAATGTAGACTTGTAGAGTCTTCTTCACCATGAAGGTGAAACCAGGGGCAGTGTGTGATGTCTGCACTGGGACCACTGCACTGCCTCTGTCCAGCTCAGACAGGTGCAGTCTTGAGTGCCACTGTTTTTGAGATGGGCTCTCAGCAGTGGGATGTGCAGAGCAGCCCTTCTGTTTTATCGACTAGATTCAGCTGGAGAAAGGGATGAATATCTGAATGTGTCATGTAGGAATCTAGAGTGAGCTGTCCTCTGTCAGTCCTCCCTCCCAGTGAAGTGCAGTATCTTCTCCTGTGACATTTACTTACACCCTTTTTACTATAATACTGTGTATTATATTATACATGTGTATAATGGGTGTAAGGCATGGTATGGGCAGGTCAATTTATACCATTATTAATATTGTGTAGGTAATTTAATAAAGATTAGTGTGATTCAAATGAGTAATAAAATCAATACATATCATGTAATTTATAGATGGATCACAATCATTGTTCCATTAATAAAGACATAACACCCATCTTTAGCTGATATACTGTACATGCTTTTTCCCTGTAAAATCCAATAACTTTTCATCAGAGTCACTTGATTAGCATATTAACAAACCAACAACAGCAAAAAATAATTACCTCCATGGTAAATAAATGTATAATTGGCCAAACATGTCAATCAATCCTATCAGAGATTTATTTGGTGCTTGAAACATGGATTTATTGTTGAGAAAAATTCAGTTCCTGTAAGGATTTCATGGTGTTCCCTCTGAACTATAGTTTCCATTTCTGCTAATTTCTCCTGGGAAAGGCCTCCCGAGTCGCTAGAGTTGAGAACAGGAAATGAAATTGCTTTCATGAACAGCCTATACAATAGATCAGGTCTCCATTGTGGGGCTGGTGAAGTGGTAATTATATCAGAGATGTCAGATGTTATTGCCGAACTGTCACCTCTGAATCTAGGGGAAATGCAAATAAAAATGAAAAAATGTGCTCTTTTGGCTTTGCCCTAGGTGCTGTCCCCACTGTCTGACTCGATCCTGGCAGAGAAGACCATAACAGTGGCAGAAGACAAAGTGAGCATCACAGAGTTAGGGGTCCAGCTGGTGACTGGACTGTCCATGAACCTCCAGCTCAGCACAGGGAGTAACCGAGCCATACTGGCCACGACAGCTACACAGGAGGTGCTCACAAGTCTAAAGCAGGTCTGTATCAAGTAAGAACATCTAGAAAGTGAGTTTGTTTTTAAATGTACCTTTTAAATTTAGAATTGTAGATTAAACTTATATTGCTACAGCATACAATAGACATGTATTAATTTTTTGTTAATCTACAATGGGCCTAATACTTACTGAAAGTTCTAGCAATGTGTATATTGTGCTATTTTCACAAAGTAAAATAAAACAAAATTTGCTTTTTGACGTGACCACTACCCAGAATACAACTCCTCTGCCAAAGTGAAGTGTCCTATCTTAAGCCTCATCGCGTGTGTCAGCTTAGTGCTTTGATCTGCCCGTCAGCTCTGTCCCCAAGTCTCCCCACACGCTCTCTACATTCTTCTTCTGCTAAGTGTGGAAGGACAACAAGGCGTTTATCCAAGCTATATCTACACACTGTGGAGATAAGAGGCAGCCTGCAGTCCTCTGTGTCACTGGGAGATATATAGTGTACAGGCCTGCAGGGATTTGTCCTGTGGAAACATTAAAGCCAAATTATGAAATGTTGCAGCATGTCCCCAGAGGAAATCCAACCTGACATGAGCCATGTTTAATGTTCTATATAAGCTTCCTCTTCTTTAATCTTTAAACAATGAGGTAACAAAAGCATATAACAGAGCAAGTCTGCCCATGCCTTCTGCTTCTATGTGTACCATTAGAGCTTAATCTGATCAAATCTGAAAAAAGTTAACTTTTGTGTTCAGGAGTCATTTCAGTTTATGTGCATCTTACACTGGGGGTACACTATGGGGACTGTGTTTTACCTTGTGAACTTTATTGTCCACAGAGCCACAGTGTTCTTTTACAGACTTTTGGCTCACACAAATCTACTCCCAAGGAAGCTATTGAAGCTTACACAAAGGAGTCAAATTCTTTGGGCCAAAGATGACCCTAAACTGACTGAAGCAAAATGCAACTGTTTGTGTGATTAGAATATATTATGGGGTCATGGATGAGCATTCAGGCTCAACCTTCTGTTATCAGATATACGCACTTTGTATTTGTGGCTAGTTATATAGTACAAAGTAATACATACATAGTAGTACTACTTTGGAACATACCAGTTGATCAGACATTGAATTCAAATTGTTGTTGCTCTTGTTCTTTTTGTGGGATGTGTTGCTGCCAATGATTTAAAGATATGTTTGAAATTTGAAAAGAAAATTAAATAATTTGGGTTATTTTTCTTTACATTCTCCATTGTGTATTTTTTTTCTCCAGGAGGCCCTGATCAGTGCCTGGCTGCAGTTCAGTGATGGCTCAGTTGCTCCCCTGGACCTTTACAACTCAGAGTTCTTCATCCTCACTGCCACATCTCTGGACGAGGAGGTGATCACAGTGCACCAAGACCCCTCGTGGAAGTGGCCCATTATTGTTACTGAATCTGAGGGTCAAGGACTGCTGGTCAGGGTGGAGATGACAGTTTGTGAGATGTGTCAAAAATATAAACGCCGCAGTGTTTTGGCAGCAGGCAACTGTAACATCCGGGTGCAGTTTGGGCGTGATGATAGGAGCAGGGATTACGACGAAATGGAGGCTCGAGGAAGGCCTTCACAGGACCGGACTGGCACTGGCACGCTCTACTATGGCAGCTCTATTTCCGACATGGAAGATGGAGTGCTACGCAGAGCTACCACCACAAAAAGTGCAATTATGCGCCGACCCAATGGGAATAAGCTTTCGGATGATAGCAGTCAGGGGGACTTCACAGACTTCCCTGCTCAAGTGGACCTGCCCCGTGGACGCAACACAGAGGATGATCTTATAACAGCGCGAGGACTTACAGACTTGGAGATTGGGATGTATGCTCTTTTAGGGGTCTTCTGCCTTGCCATTTTGGTGTTTCTCATCAACTGCATATCATATACTCTGAAATATCGCCACAAGGAGCTTTCAATTGAAGGACAAGAGACCATGAACCATTCTCACGACTGGGTGTGGCTTGGTAATGACGCTGAACTTCTAGAAAGTCAGATTAGTTTGTCCCCTCAGCAAGAAGAGCAGACTTCCATGATTGACTCAAGCAGTGGGCTTGAGGAAGGGAGCCACTTACTCAATGGAGGTACAGCACAGAAAAACATCCAGGGTCAAGTGCACCGAACATGTGACACTGGGGGCAAGGACAGCAAAGGGGACTCTCCAACTACTAAAAGGAAGAGAGTGAAATTTACTACATTTACCACTATTCCATCAGAGAGTAGCTACCCCGCTGTGAGCACACTGACTAGCAGCCATAGCCAAGACATTAAGTGGGTGTGTCAAGACGTGGAGCTAGAGGGCGCCAAGGAGTTACGCAATTACATGGAGAGGCTAAATGACAGTGCACTGATGAAAGATGTGGCGTGATTTCGTTGAACACTTGTAATAAGCTCACCCTTTTGCCTTTCAGGGGGAAGTTAGCAAATTATAGATCAAACAAAAACTGCCAAAGCCACATGGACATTGATGACATGAATCTATGGACACTGGAAGGATTTATTTATATTTCCCTTTGTACCATACAGGGTTATAGTAGAGTAATAACACTAGAACTAATGCAATTCATATAAATGGACTGTCAATGAGCAGAAGATGGATGTTTAAACATTTTAAAGTGTACACATTAAAAATGATTTGAATTTTGTAAAAAAAAAAAAAAAAAAAAGGATTTCAGTTTTCATGCCACTACTGATCTCTGTGATAAGACAAAGGCTATGAGGTAAATGATGTGCATGAAAGTGGGATAAACTAAGCACAACTGTGTCCTTTTAGAGTCAGTATCCACTCACTCTGCACTCACAAAAACATTGCTGTGCCCAGAGAGAGAATCAACTTCTTACTGAGTGAACACATTTTAAGGCCATTTGTTCTCAGGGGTTTAGTCACAACATTGTTTTGCAATCTCATAGCATGCTACATCCCAGGCGTTATTATTGTAAACAACAGAACACAGTCACTTTTCTAAGACACTAAACTGAATTTTATTTCAAATAAACATTGGTTGAATAGGCTAATTGTTTTTCAGGACTACATATTTTTTTTCAGCTGTCAAATGGTTTGGAAGACTGATATAAACCTTTTTATATTAAGTAATCTCAAACCAAAACCCCCAAATTTGTTTCTGTGCACTCAAAGTTTGTAAAAAAAAAAAAAAAAGTTGCAAAACTACTGGCTGCTACTTATTTAGGTTTCAGCTTTGTTCAGGCACATCTGGTCATCTAGTACCCAATGGGCAACATGGAAAAGGTCATAATATAAAGGTGCTGCCAACTGTCCCCAACGGCCTTAAACAAAACCCACATGGCATAGTCTACTGCACCAAGTCCCTTTGAGAGTAAATACATACAGGGATAATGAGAGCCAAGGTGGGGAGTGTTTTCCTTTTGCAAATGAATCTTTTATTATTGAGATAATTGCACAAATAATGATCATCTGTGAAAAGTTCCTAAACAAAAGCAGCCGGCTGAAAAATTGCATTTTGTTCATTGAATGTTATTATCGTCACAGCGGTGTCGACTGATTGCTTTGCATTTTGTGTCGTCTTTCATCAGACAGAAAAAATGTTCACATTATGTTAACCGTTGGCGCGGTATGGATCAGATTGTTAATCAGTGACTCAGAAAAGGTGGGGAGAGAGGAGGGGGGGACTCTTATGTGCAGACTACCTGAGTGTAATTAGTGGAGCCGTTTCAATCAGAATTCTCTGTCAACAACACTCACCTCTGAATGAAAAATAAGTTTAGTGGTTCTTTTTTCCCTTAACTCACTTTGTTCAAGTGGCTGTTGACTGAGTCGTATCGGTAACATTGATCCTTCTTATGTCAAGAGTAATTAGTGAAACAAAACAAGCGCACGGCATTTTGAGGCTGACCAATAGTGGTTTAAACTGCATAAAATAAACATTATACACTAGGTAACTCGGTAAGTTAAAATGACTTAAATTCAGAATATTTTACTTTATTTGAGTAGATTTATCTTGACAAGTAAACTTACCTACCAATGGAACAAGTGTGTTTTTCCTAATTCAAGCCATATTCGATTTTGTTTCTTATTTTAAGTGCACAGAGTTGTTGTTTTTCTTATCTTAAGTGTAGCAAGATGTATTTAGTGCAAAAAGGCTTGTTGAAATGTATTCACATCATGATAAAAAAAAAAAAAAAAACTTTCGTAATTAAGTAATCTTAAGTTTTTTTAAACTAGATTTTAGTTTTTGCAGTGTGGAGTGAGTCATTTTGTACCAGTGGCATATTGGAGGCAGGTTGATGATGTGCTGTATGGCCCAGCAGTACTAGTACTAACAGATCTTTCCATTTGGATCACGTGCGCCCCTGATAGTGATTATACTTTTGTCAGTTAAAATGTACATGTCCACATTGTATAGTTACTGCACACCAAAAGTAAATCAGTCCACATTTTACAGCCCAAAATACATCACCTTTTCACTTTTATTGCTTTTATCAATGCTGTTTGGATTGTGTGAGTAGAGTCTCTTAAGGTCTAGGAGGAATTCACCTGTCAGCCACTAGGGGCATGATTGATGGAGGCCCTGCTGTAATTAAAACACTACAGTGACTTTGTGTGGCGACCATTGTGTCTTGTTGCAGTCTCGTCACCAGAGCACCAAACCAATAAATCCCCCTTTCTCTCCTCTCCTGGGTAATACTCCAGACCTGCTTGGACGTGGGACTTGTTATCTAATCATCAAACTTGCAGTATTCTTGGAGGGCAAAAAAATATGAAGTTATTTTGTTGGCCTTGAAGACTTGGCTGACTCCAAATCAAGGGGGTCTAGCTTCCCCAAGCTGAAATCTTAAATGGGTTTTTAATTAAATTGATGAAGTGAGACCAACAAACTCTGGCTAATGGCTGGCTGCGCTCCCTGTGGTCCCAATGTGCTGGGTCTGGATTTGCAATTTCCAAATGATTATGCACTGCTGTGATTTATGTTGCCACCTTTGAGTTCATTTTAAATCAGTCCACAGTCGTTTTACAGAAAATAAACACGTAAAAAAGAAATGTAGAGCTGAGGTGAGGGAGTGAAGGTTGGATTTATCAGGGAGGGTTTCTGCAGATAGAGCCGGGGGACGGGAAAGACAAAACAGTCACAAACAAAGAATCTTCTCTGAACTATTGTTAAGTTAGCTGTGGCTTGGCACAACAGCGTATTGCTATAGCAAGGGAATAGAGTCAGTTTTGGGAGAGTTGGCATATTAGTTAATTAGAGTGTAGTAGTTATTGTAACATTTATATAGGGTTAGACTAATGGGCAAAGAGGGATCAAGGAATTCAAATTTAAATTTCACAAGTTTCACTTTCCACCTCCGCAAGTAATAACAGTCTCATTTTATAGGTTTAAAAAATATGTTCTGTCAAAATTACCTCTTTATCTAAGAAGTAGGAGTGGGTGATGTGCCAGAAATTAATATGATTTTCTACAGTCTAGATCATGAACAAGAAAAAGCTATTTTTTAAAGGTTTTTTAAAAGCAAATTTTAAAAGCTTTTTAAAGTGGAACTAAAAACTTAATCCATTGCTTATGGTATTTTAATAGTAAAAACACCAACAGCAAATACAGTAGGTGTATTTGAGGTTCAGAAACAATCAAAAACTGAGTGTGGGCTGCCTCCAGTGGCCATTGCAATTTCAGGTACTATGTGACATCACACAATACCCCTGATTACAGTCGGGTATTACTGATCACAGACACCCAGCTTCAGGGGCGGACTTAGAGCAGAGCCCACCCCTCCTTTTCCGACTCTCTTCTTTAGTCCCTTTTTTTTTTTTTTTTTTTTGTTCCCCATTTTTTCAATCAAATTTGAAATCAGATCATTTTAAACTTCCCCTAACATTTGCCTGTGCTTATTACCTCTCTTTGCTTTGCTGTCGGCTTCCCCACAGGATACTGCATCTCGTTATATTTTTCTGTTCCGGAAACTTTATTCAAGTATTTGAAGATGCATATATGCAAAAAATATTCTCCACCATCATGACTCAAGTTGCTTTCAGCTGAGATCCAATAAGGTCGTCACATCCAGTACTTTTAGTCATTTTTCTTCAGCATAACTCACCAAGTGTATACTATTGTATATCTGTGAGTCCTGTGTAAGGGGGTAACAGTATAGGTCAGGGTTATGCCGATACACCTGAAACAATGGTATTCTTTTGAGCGTTTGGGAGGAAATCTATCTTGATACCTGCTCACTTTTATGGGAGTCGAGGCCTATTCTGTACACACAAGAGCCTCTAAAGCTCGGGGCGCCTGCACTGAACTCAGATAGATGAATGCAGTTAACGCCTTTTATGGTTGCTTATTTCACACATCATCTGTCTGAATGAACAACCCTTAACCCGCCCTGTACCCTGGTGCTCTGAAATATTAAAAAAAAACACCAAAAAAATGGTACAACTATAGAAGGCACATGTTCCAGAGGATTGGGTTTTTGATGTTTTATATTTTCAGTGCACATTTGTCTTCAGTGGGTCCAGAGGTCATCTTTAAGTATAGGGGGCTAATACTGTAGTATGTGGAGTATTTATTCTTTACTTGAAATGAAGGAAATCTTTAAGTTTTAGTTATGCATTATTAAGTCCAAAGGAAATATTCTCCAATAAGCTTCAGGATGTTTTCAGATTTTGAAAGACTGTAATACAATAATTAGCTGGGCGGAAATGAGGTGATTAGTCCTGAGAGATGAGCCAAATTGCGTGCTCGGCCTTTTCCTTAAACATTGTGTCTGCATTATCTTATCTTAATTAACAGGCTGTGATGTTTTATAATCCTTGCATTACTACAAGAACATCTATAGAGGGCATCTGCTCTAGCATAACACAATGCAAGTCTCCCCATACTCCCTTTGCTAATTTGATAATTGTAATGCTTGATTGTCCTGCCAAGATAAGCCAACTATTGCATTATCTTAATATAAAATAGATAGATACATTAAAATGAGTTAGAGCTCCACTTGGGCCATATATATACTTGAACATAATCACATACCACATGACTAAACCCAGAACTAAACCTGGATTAGACCAGGACTAAACCAAGTCTACATCAGGGATCAAACTGGGCCCAAACTAGTTTGATCCCTTAGACTCACAATGACATGAATGAAGAGCAGAGCATTTGCACAAGCTGAAGGTTGGCAGTATGATCCCAGGTAGCCAGTGAATATGTATGTTATTGATGTTGTTGTTGTTGTTGAGTCCTTTGGCAAAACACGTTACTGTCCTGCCTTCATCTTTATCTAGTGTCTATCTGGTGAATGATGGAAAATAACAAATGAAAACAATGGGGAAAAAAACTCTTTATGTGTTTCTGCAGTCCTGTATTAGGCAAAATAGACTCTTAAGAGCTTAAAACCAAGTTATAATGTTGTTACTTCATCAAAAACATGCCTGGAGTTGTGTTTTGTTTCATTCAAACATGTTGAAGTCACTCTTTATTATTAGTCTGTCCTCATCTCCAGAGCTCAAAATGCTCTGTTCCATCCTGTACTGTCATGTAGGAGTAGCTATCTTTTACCTTTAGTTCAGCAAAGATTGGAAATTCCAGAGCTGAAATCATCCAAATGATTCTAGTGAAGGTGCATGGAGTTGAGAAACGCAGTGTATTACCACATGACATCACAAGATGGAGTGTTTTCTGTTTCAGAGAAGAACTAAATATGCAGGATGTCTGACAGTCTGACTATTACAATGTCTACAAAATGCAGCTGCACTCAAGACTTTTATTTGTTGCAGCGCATGGACAGCAGGAGAAATATGCAGTAAAATCAAGATGAATAAAAAGAGACTTAAATCTAGCTTGAATATTAGAAATGCTTAGTTAAATATAAAAAGGTTTAAAGGTAATACAACACAAGACTGTGCAAACAGAGTAAAATATAATGACTTTAATGATGTATTTGGAGGCTGGGGCTTTATTATTAAAACTTGACATAAGCTGGTAAAAGTAGGCTAGTGTGGTCTACTCAGTTCTGCTCAATAAATCAAATCAAATATTGTGACAGGAGTGGTGAAAGTCTATATCGTGCTGTTCTAGCTGCCTTCATAACCACTAGGACGTGTCTGAGATTTCTCTTGACATGAAAAACAAGCTGCTGCTGTAGAATTATGACCCGGAGGTTTTGTGTTGACTTCAGACATCAAACTCAGTGGTGCCGACCAAATGTTATAGGAAATGGTCTTCCCTGAGCTGAGCTGAATTTCAAATGATCCACCACCATGTGGAGATTTAAGCCTGATGAAATGAAGGAGAAATCTGAGTAGGAAGAACATGCTCATTTAATAAAACTGCAAAATATACTTGTGGTAATTCTGCATGTACATATAGAGCAAACTAGTGCTACTTATCTTGGTAGTACTCTCATGAATGTAGATTTGATTTGGAGTAAAAGTGCTCACTGTCACTACAACCTTGTAATAGTGATCATAAATACTTGAAAATGTATCTAGTTATAGAATAATAAAGACCTGCATTAACATACAACATAATATTGCTTATATACGGTGTAAAACGTAGAGTTAGGCATTTATTTATCCTAACTACAAAAGGAAGAAAAAAAATCACACACTCGCACACACACACATGAGCAATGCTTCTATTTTTCAAACTATCATTCAGTCTGAAGACTAAATTGCACAATCAAATACCACCATGTATTGCTTTGATTTTAGGAAAGCAACTGGATTCTACCAAATGAAAGCGTAGTAGTCTATTGTACTTGTATAATAGTGTTAATCTGCAAATCTATTGTGATTCAGTTTTTCTGTTTTAAAAGATTTTGCCATCCACTCCTTCTATAGTTCAGTCTCCATCATGCTCATGCAATGAATAAGAGACCAATTACTGTGAGGTGTGAATTCTTACAAGAGCCATAAGCTTAAAATGCCTATGTATTTTCGGTATATGTATTAGTGCTGACTACCACTTCTACTTACTCCTATTGGTATGGCTATGAACGTTTAAATCATTACCTTTTCCTCTTCAAGTGAAACCTATTTTCAAAATGAATTATGAGTAGGCTAATAATATATACATTAACCTAGTAAAATAAATAAATAAATAAACTTCCCATACCTAAAAAAAAAAGCTGCTGAAGTTTCTTTTTCTGGGACAAGGGCGTGCACCTCACTCCCCAAACACTGAATATTCCATCTTATAAATAAATGAACACAATCTACTTTAAGCTCGCCTTAGGAACAACAAGAAAAGTGACAGGGTAAACAGGCTGTGCTGACACAAGACGTTAACTCAAATGTGTGTGACATTTTTTACATACATTTCATATACTGTGTTCGCAATGAAAAGGGGCATTATTTTTAATAGCGGCTGCCAGGAAACACGTCAGCTTTGCTTGTCAAAATAGAGTACATGAAAATGCATAATCAAATCAGGCAATATGAGTCATTCAGGCTAAGACCTAAAAATAACCCAACTTCGGTCTCATTTTAATAAACTTTAATAGGCACAAATAAATCTCCAACATGTTTGAAACTATGTAGAGTTGGGAACAGAAATAAAACTGAATCTCTTAACAAACAAATCAAGTGCAACTTACATATATAAAACAGACAGCAAAGCATTCACCCAATTCAACAATAAAATCAAGTGTCATATATAAGGGAAATGTGTCTTTATACCACAGCAGACCACATTAAAATGAAGATTTTTTTAAGCATAATTCCAAGTCCTGAGTTTTGTCTGTATATATGAAGCTAATCTGTAGAGTAAAAAGTGAGATTTTTCCAAGAAAAAAATATCACAGTATGTTGAAATTACACATTAAATATTTTACAATAGATGAATATGTAATCATATTTACAGTCATGATTTTCTGATGACTTCTCTAATAAGATAAAACACAAAATAAATGGATATTTTAAGAGCAATATTCAATGCTGCTTGTTGAGGTCAGAGTGTGTTACTAATTACCAGTAGCTGTTTTTCATGGAGTCAGTGGCTTTTCTGTTTGACCTAAAGATAAATACATTCTTCCAGCTAAAGTATTTTTGGAAAATGTCTCACTATACATAATGGCCTACTTGACTTAATGGCTGATGCTTAGAGTGTATGTATTAGTTATATTTTACATATATTCATTGAGTCTTTATAATTATTGCGAATATATGTAAATGATGGTAGCTTGGACATCTGTCATCAAAATATAAAAAAATATAAACTGACCAAATTCTTAAAACATCAATTGAATGTACACTTTAAGTAGGCCATATTATCTAAAAGTCAATGAGTTGAAATGACAAGATAAAGATATCAATGTAATGATTCAAATATATCCCTCTAATAAAAATATATTGCAAGTTTAAAAAATCAGTTTCGATCTCAAGACTTAGTGGTTGAACATAATGGCCTTCTCAGTGCTTACACGTGCCCATAAAGTATAACAACAAATTAACTGACCCCTAAGAGTCATTTGTTAACCTAATGATACAAAACAAGTCTAGCATCTTAAGGTAACCATTAAAATTACCATTGTCTTTGTCAGAAAATACTGAATACTGGAGCATGACTGGCTGCAATGCCTCATCTCAAGTGCAAAAGGTTAAAAGGCAACCACAAAAAGTAATACATCATAAAACACTGTCTATAAGAGGCCTCTGTCTGTAAAACCATCATTATTATAAAAGTGACAAAGCTCCCCCTCACAGAAAGACATAATATTTAAATTTCTTGGGAGTCATTCTTTTACAGTATGTTAATGTGCTAGTACCTTCACAAAAACAGTCTTTGGGAGTAGAAAAGGCATGTGTGGTGACAGGTTTTGTGTGTTGGGGTCATGAAGAGATGTGGCTCTGTCGTCTGCTCCCGGATCGACCCTTCTGACGTTCGTATTTGACCGAGACGATGAGGAAGACCAACAGAGTCAGGCCCTGGATCCCCGCCAGCAGGAAGAAGTAGTAATGCAGGGAGCAGTCATTAATATTACCTGGGGAAAAAAAGACACATTTTAGGCAATTGACACGGTAATGCATTCCTTAATATTGACTTATGGTTAAGAGACTTGTACTTGTAGAATAATGAAGAGTGTTAATCTGCCAATTCTCTGAGGTTGTTATATTGTGATTCAGTAATTCTGTTTTAAATGAGTCACTGCCTTTGCCATTCACTCCTCCTATGGTTCTGCCTCCATCATGCTCATGCAATGAATGAGTGAATGAATCTTAGGCTTAAAATACCTACATGAAAACTGTACAAGAAGCATGAAAAAATGAAAGGAAAAGCCATATGAACCATCATGTCATACTGTGGATACAGGCTAAATAATTTTATTTTAAAACACACACACACTCACATACTTTAATGAATGAAAATGAATGCCCAAACCAAACGTTATAGACTAGTGCTGTATGCAATCGTTGCAGAGTAAGTTGCAACAACAAGTTAAAGACATAAAAGACTGACTTGAAATGCACATGGCATCTCAAAGCAAATGTGTCAGGAGTTTAGATTGAGCGCTGGGTGAGTATTTTTCATGTCTCCCATATGCCGATGAAACCCAGGGAAAGCTCAGTGCCACTCACACACAGATACAGGGGCTGTATTGATGATGTGGGCTCTCAGCTCTGATTCCAGACACTAGTCTTTCATCACTATTAGAGCAGAGATTCTGAAGGGACTCCGAAAAGGAGCAGAGAAAACATAAATAAGCTTGAGATTCTGCTTTGATTTGAGGAGACTGAAATATGGCTGTGATCAGAAAGTGAAAAAGGGAAAAGGTAAGTATTTCTAGGCATATGCGTTCTTGTACACTCCTGTATTAAGACATAACATTATGACGACCCGTCTATTGCTGTATTGGTCATCAAGTAGCCCTAAACACAACAGTCTCATTTGGAGATGCTCTGACCAAGTCTTCACATCTTGACTCTTATAGCTCTAATTCATAATAATCCATAATTTCATATTTAAAGACAAACTGGTGCCTTAATGAAGATCAATAAACAAATTTCAGTGTTAATATTCTTCCTGTTGGAGTAAATAAACATAAATCATAAAGATTAAATCAAACTCAGATAGTGCATTCTTTCCACCAAATGTTTAGCTATCTAGGACAGCTTCATATGAGCTTGCAGTTTGTGACACAGGGGAGGTCAGTCTCACTCAGATGTGAAACTTTAGAGGCCAACAAACAAATGCAGTTTTTGTGTCACTGAGTTTTACAATGTGAAGCAAAAGCAGACACTTTTACATTAGTCAGTGCTGGTGGAGAAGGCCGACTATGGGATTGGTTTCAGACAGGCTAAGGCCTCTTGACCACAGTGTGTCAACTAATAGACTCAAGGCTACTCTATTTATTTCAGGTTCTACACACATGCAGATAGTTCTGAGTGGAGACAGCTCCTCTGACAAAAAAGATGCTGTTTAGCTTGCTTCCTGAAATCACTGTGAAACCCTTTTGTTGGGGACTTGGCAGCAGGATTGTAGTTGGACCCTTCCTGAACAAATTTAGAATGATCTTGAGCATTATCAGTATAAGACCACATGTTCACATAAAGTACTATTATTTAGTGTTGAAATTTACACTCTTAAAAAAAAGGTTTACTATTGCTGAAGTATTGAAAACGGAATCAAGTATCAAGTCTATTGCTTAGAATCAAAATCAAGTTTGAAATGTTTATACCATAACGACACTACTTTACAGCCTGCCTTATCAGAATAACCACCCTTGTGCTTTAAATGCTCACTCACCGTCAAAGCATATGCTACTGTGAAATGTCACTATAACAGAATCTCTGTGTAATAATTTAAAGTGGAAACAAATACAAAATAACATAAAAGCATCACACACGGGTAAATGATCATTGAAATATTCTTGACAATATCTGTTGGGCAGTGTTATCCGTGAGGCTGTGGAGCTTTGATCTGAGAAGAGAGAGTGCGCCCTGATCACTGAACTTCCACAGCGCGTTAATGGAATCGGTGGACAATGGAAAACCTGACATTACCTTTGACCCCATCACACATTTGAACTTATTATATTGTCATCTTATGCTTGTCATCTTACAATGGGTTAGATCACAAGAAATAGATGGGAGAATTGTGTTGTTTGAATTATTCATGGGGCAAAAAACAATATGCTTGACAGATGTGAGGGAAAGTGCATTTGCAGTGATCAAGCCTTGTGTTTTCAATCGATAATTCACTTAAACAGATAGTCAAGCAAGCATACACTCCTGGGGTTTTAATTAACATAGCAGCATGCAGTGTTTTCCTAATAATAAGTCAATAATGTAGAGCAGAGCCACACACAAAATGCTTCAGCAAAATGTTTCAAAGGAGAATTAAAGTGTATCCAAGGCAGCAGTATTTCCAGCAACATCCCACTCTCAATTGTGTCTTTGGCAGGTACTGAACGTCAGCACTGAACCAATCCTGATTGAAAACATTTTTATTTTACAAATCTCCTTACAGCAGCCTACAGATTATTTTAGACAACTCAATGTCAACCTTTTTGTACATTTGCAAACTAAAAATAGCAACCAAATGAATCTCAAAAGCTTTCTCATTTTTAAAAGAATCAGGAAATCATGCCATGCTTCAATTTGGTAATGGCCGTGCTCTGCTCCAAGTTCATAAAACAATATATGAAATGGGCCCTCCTTCAGCCTTAACCCCTGGGACTCACTTAGCCAGTTTAAAAATATGGAAGGCTAATTATTCGAGCTAAGAGCTAAACAAGGGTGTTGCTGATAAAACCATTAATGAAAATCAGAAATATGGCAGTTATGGCAAAATGCAGAGTAGCAGCAAAGGAAAGGAAACAAGTCAATATCAATTTAAATGTTAAAATGGATCAATTTATTGGAGCATCCATGCAATGACCTGGGATTTTGTGCTCTCAAGGTCCTCAGCAGCCAACTGAACACCACCACAGAATAAATGCATCTTTTTTCTAAACTGATATTGGAGAGAATTATTTTCCTTTAGTGACCATAACATCCAAGATCGGTTATATATGATTTAGGTAAAATATGCAGCAAAAAGGGCATGTGAAGCAGAGCCCTTTGAGACAAAGGTAGAGATCATGTAAAATGTGTCAGGTGTGACATTCAAATCCTCCAAAGAAACTCTGACATTTCTTCCAAATTATGAGCTGTTAGAATATAAGATATGAACAAAAACGCCCAGAGCAATTGTTATGGCCATTTCCTGTCACATGATCAAGCCCAGACACCATTTACCTGAACTGAATGACCCAGAAAGGAAGGCAAATTAATTCAGTCCTAGAAACAAAAGACTTCTCCTGTGCAGCGGAAATACACTTGTGAATACAAGAAAGGTTGAGCTTGGATTGACTTGGTTCTCGGGCAGCTGTGTCTTTGACAGAAGCTTTATGATGGCCTTATAGCAGACCTACACCAGAGGAATACCAAATAAGAGTGTGATAAATGGCTATTCAGGCTGAGGTAACTATAGAAGAACTGTGTGTATTGGGATCACAGCAATCAATAACTTGTGCTGCTGTGGTCCAAAAGACCAGTGCATTCATAGTTGTGGGTTAGCTGCCTGGCAAGTCCAGTATGATATATATCTGTATGTTTATACAGAGGGATAACAGCCTGGCCCCACTCCCTCCGTTGTGCCTCAAGCCAGACCCAAACACTACTGTGCAGTCACTGACACATGTGAAACACAGAAACTCTTTGGTCAGTCATCATTCTGAATTAAAAAAATAATCTCTACCCTCAGATTAACAGCGTATAGTGCTTCACTCATTGATCTACAGAAATCTGCAATGCTTTTCAGGGGACTGAAAAACACTGGATAAAAATGTATTCTGGATCACAGGCAAGTGGGTGAGGTGAGGTTGTTTATTCTATGCAAAAAACATTGTTACGAGTTCCATAATGTTATAATGTTGCGTCATCACAAAGGTTACAAGAAAATGTACAAGAAATAAAAAAAAAAAGAATATGAGGAGAAATAAAAGAAAACATAAATCGTACTTATATTTAGTTTCATTCTTGCATGAATAACATTTATAGCACAATGAGAAAAAGAAAATGTGTAATAACAATATAACTGACACTAAAATGAGTGCACTTTACTTCACAAATCTGTTCTCACAGCCTCCACAATCAGGCAATAGCACTGGCTGCAATGTGGACACAAATTATTCATATCACTCCCAACCTATCCAGCAATATGTCATGAGCAATATGATATGACCCAGCCCTACTCCTACTTATCCCAGCACCCCTTTACTGAGAGTTGTCAATTGGCCCTAAATGAACTCTTTAGAAACTAAAATATACAGTATTATGAAGCAACCATTTTGCCTCCTAAATGGATTTTAAGCTTTGCAGATGACACTTATGAACTAGATGGACTATGGTAAGAAGACTATTTATGTGAGATTTTGCATATGCTTACTAACATTTAAGGCGATAGTGAGCTCTGGCACCACAAGAGAGCTGAGCCTTCCCTGTGTGGTGCTGTGCCATCTCCATGTATCGCTCTGGGGGCAGCTTTACTTAAGAGGGAGCAGGGCTATGTAATCAGACCTCCAGCCTGTGATTAATGTTCTTCATCTGTCTTCAGGCATGTGCAGCTCGGGACAACTTTGGAAAAGCTCACCCAAGACGCTGTTTACTGCACACCGCTTTCGCCTGTAGCCATGGAAATAAGCTTGAATCCTTCGCACCTAGAGAGCCATGTGACGTGCAGACCTACTTCTGAAAAAGCTAACTTTTTTGACACATGTCCTTTATCTGTGGCCAAGAGGATGCTTTCTTCTTCTTCTCGGGCTCACCTTAAAATCGCTTGTTTTGGAAAGTAAAGAAATTATCGTATAGGCAATCTGCTCTAGTTTAACTGCCCCTGAAGAGAAGGGAGAGTAAGCCAAGGATGGATTTATGAAGCGTGCCTAGCATCTTCCTGTGCTAGCATCATCAAAAGCAGCCCACTACCTGTCGGCGTACTGTATTAATGAGCTATTAGGTGTTGGTGGATAAACAATTTACAGTGCTGGCTTATTTACCGCGTGCTCAGGGAAAACTACATCTGGGTTGGGAGCCCTGTCTCCCTGGGAAGCCCATCCATCTGCTGCATCTACTTTCTATTCACTCCCTCACATAGACAGATTTACGCACACCTTTTGTAGTTAAGCTGACATGCCTATTTGTTATGGTACGCTCTCTTAAAACAACAGGGCTGAGTGTTGGCCACGCCCCAAACCTCTTATTGTCTAATTTACAAACTCTTCAGAAGGAGCTTATATCACCACCAGCTACGATCAAGGATGTTTCAAGACAATTACTTTCTGCTCTTAGAATTAATACAAATAATTAAATTCAGTCCAGACATGCGGGACAGTACAGGAGTCAACAATGCACTACTGTATTTGTATCATAGTCTGTATAAATAAATGGAGATATCTGACGCACTAGCCGCCGTGTTCCAAATAGAACATTTGCATGCAAGCTCTTCCGGCTCCTACAGACCCTGACTCCTATTGATTTACATCAGAATATTGTCTTCCCTCTATCTGTAACAGCTGCAGTGAGCCTCGTCATTTTGGTGTTCGTATTAACCCGCTCTACATGATCCTGGATCTTTTGGGGTTTTTTTCGCTGTTTTGTCTGTTAAAAAAAATCCTAGTCATAATATAGAGCCTGGTTCCAAATTTGCTCCTTTAACCGCTAGCATCGCAAGCATCATGTGAGTGGCATAGGTATGTTCAGGTATATTCTACTGTGGTCGGAAAGGAAAAAAGAATGAAGAATAGGCAGTATTTTTTGGTGGTAAAAAACAAAATTTCACTGCATCAAAGTTTGTGCCTCATGCAGTTGCACAGAAATAACAATAGGATTGTTAATAATATAAAAAACTAAACTAGTCAAGTTTAGTAAATGCTCACCGAAGTCTTTGCGGGAGGACATCCATCCAATTCCAGGCAGGGAGACAATAGCCAACAACCCAGAGCCGACAAATGAGCCAATTCCAGAGAAGAAGAAGAACAGTCCCATGATGGCACTCTGCATGGACTTTGGGGCAGCAGAATAAGCAAACTCCAAACCTGCAACATAAAAGAGACAATAGAAGTAATGTCTATTTTACTGCTAGTGATAACATACTGTAGCTATTTAATACCACCCTATCAAGATGGAAAAGTAGTGACACCGGGGAGATATGGCAAGACAAAAACATTTGTGTCTTTAGTGGCCCAGGAAAGTGCCTGCCTGGGAGCTGACATTGATAATTTCATGGCACCTCAAATGTGATTTTTCAAATGAAGCCCTATAGCCATGTCTGTCAGGGGAGATTAGGGACTGCACAGAAATACATTCCCCTTTTAAGACCTTTCTTGCCTACTGACATTGTACAAAATAATGATTCTACTTACATACATAAACAGATTTGATACAAAACTGTAGTAGAAGAAAAGGATAAAGAGAGGGGAGCAGGGAATATAAAGGTAACAAGCATAACCTTTAGTACATTTGTGCTAAGAAGAACAACTCACAGGTGTAAAGGTATCAAGTAAAAGATGAAAAATAGACTGCTCATTTGTGGGCATGGTACAGAACTATTGGCACTGACGGTAGGATTTTACTACCGTTTCTAATAGTTGAATAATAGAGCATGTATGCAAATCTTTTATCACTGAAGCAAGTGACAAATTGCTGAAGCATTTGAAGTTATATATTTAGGTAGAGATGAGTCATTGTTTGTTATTGCCACTCTTTCTGCCAATGCAAAATGTTAAAATGAGTAATATATTTAGTTACTTTCCACATCAGCAAAACATTGTTCCAACAAGGGGACATCATGTACAATAACTAACGTCTAGACCATTTTTAAATGTTCAACCCAGTAGAAAAAAATGTATATATAATTCTGTCAGCCAGCTATTCTTGGTTTAGAAACAACAGCGTGACAGTGTGATTAGAATGTGTACGAAATGTGCAAAATGTGAAGTACTTCTTTAGTTTTATTAAAAGTATATATTAGCCCCATTCATTTAGAGAAAAAGGCCAGACATATTAAATGTATAATGCAATCTTTGTCAAATAAAAACAATCTCTACATGAAGAACATGACCTTAAATAATAGCATAATGCAGGATGACTCAATCACAGCTAGACACTTTGGCAAATGTGAATCACTGAGGTAATTGAAGCCTGGAGTCAACATGGAAAGGGCTTTTTAAACAAACAACATTTCCATTGATTTTCATTCTGTCTAGTAGCATATACTGTAGGATAAATACTGCCTGGCATCTTTAACATTACAGCGCTCTATTCTGAATTCAGTGCTTTTTCATGCTCCTTTTATTGGAAGATTGCATTGTTGGTGTTATTTCTAATCTTGTCTGACTCTGCAGCTCCTGCTTGAAACAACAATTTCTCACATTGTCACATTACAGTGTTACCGAGAACATTTTTCTACTTACAAAGCCTCAAATAAAATGGTGCTTTCAATTCTTGTCTTGAAACGGTACATTATCCACTTCTAAATATTTGTACTGTATACAGTAAAGATAAGGGCCTATTGTACACTATCACAGTGAACCTTCACAGAGTTGCATTTAGAAAATGGCTCACATTTCAGTGAAAAGTGAAGAGGTTTACATTTGACATTTAAATGAGATGTATAATTTCTAATTTATATTCTTTTTATATATTTCCCACTCAAAACAAGAAAAAAAAGATTAATTTTAGTAGGTTGACTAGGGCTTAGGATGAACACATATGCCAACTATGTAGAACTTACTAGAACAGACTTCAGATTTCATTACCAAGCCATGTCCAAAACTGCATGGTTGTTGTTAGCCCCCAGTTAGGGGAGGTTATTAAGAGTTGTGTGCATGTGCACATGTACCTAATATTGCCACAAACACACATTAAAAAATAAAAATAAATACAACTGTACCTGCAATGCTGGCAAAGATTTCACTGATTCCAATGAGGACATACTGAGGCACTTGAAACCATATTGACAAATCTGCAGCAAAGTAAGTCACGTCACCAAACACCTGGTCAATAGTACCATTTGTTTTAACCATCTCCAGACGCCTGGTTTCCAAAATTCCTATGAACAGAAAAAAGATTGTTACATAGTCAACAGTAAAATCTATTATAAAACTAAAGAAACACCCTTACAAATAATACAAATAATTATTAATTTGTTCTGGTTTATTCATGATTCTCTGGCAATGACTTCCAGAGACAGATTTCTACCCTTAATACTTTATAAAAGTTGTTGAATTGTAATCCGGATATCATTTTAATGCTAGGCTTCTTTCTCAAGCCATGTGGCATCTGGAGCAGCTTAGAGCAACACTAAGCAATAATACACATTCACACTAAACAGATTCACCACTAGAAGGCCAGATGCAATCCCAAGAACAAAATAATGATGCTTTTGGACACCTAACAGTTACTGAGCTCTGTCCAAGCAGCTTGGTAGAAGACAAGAAAGGATTTGATTAAACATGCATTAAGCCACAAAAATGTATTTTAAAAGTTGTGCCCACTTTGAAATAGCTGGACACTTAAAAGAAAGGGAATCAGAGACACCCTTGTGTGAGTGGGAAGGGCCACCCAGCTGTCCTATGTAGTACATGTCAGGGTGTACTATGAAACCATGAGAAATATTCCTGCAATACTGTCAGTCTATATTTTTCACATGTTGATGAAAGTGATTGTAACTGTGACTAGCTGCAGTGGTGTGCTGACTATGACGTGCTGGACTGACGGCTCTTGGGCAAAGACACCACTTTTGGTCTTTTTAAAGAACTCATCTTTGAGTTTGTGCACAGAATCAGTTTGGCAACTGGACAGGCAGACAAACAGAGAGAACACACAGTATGTCAGCTGACGGCAATGCAGTTCAAAGTATAAAAATGTAAGGCAGCTTTCTGGAGAGAGTAAACAAAGCAAAGCAATGCTACTGATAAACAACTGCTCGCCGTCTTTGAAAGCAGGAATTTCGTGTTAAGTCTGCATTGAAAGTTCTCAAGGCTAGGTCAAAAATCCTTACCACTGACTATTTTACAACAAAGCCTCACTATCCCAATTTTCCAATTATTTCCATGATACTAATTTCTATCATGTAAAATAAAATAAGATTACACTTCATTCAAGAATGAAATAAAACAAGCTTTTGTATTGTGAAATATCTAGGAAAACATTCTCCCGTTTTAAAATGTATACTATTCAGAGACAGAATGAATAATGTGTATATAAACTGCATAAACCATTATTACTCAGTGCTTATTTTAAAATCAATGTACATCTTATTTCATTAAGGTGAAAGTGAAATATGTACATAGTGTGGTCCGCATATACTGATAGATATTTCTTCGGGGCACTTACAAATGCTGCATAACCCCATCAATCAATATTTAAAAGGTCATTAATGACAGAACATATATAGTACTTTAGAGAAAGGGCAATGGTTGTAGAATATATAGTGTAATGTGCATCAATCCTCATGAGCGTCACTGATTTGCTTTCCTTCAGCCTCAAGGCAAGTCTCTCTCTGGCATTCTCAATGTAGCCTCCAAGTGTAAATGCAGCTAGAGCAGTGGCAGCTTCAACTGACACTTCATTTCTACTATAATGTACATGTTCACTGTGCAACCACCACCTCATTGTGCACAAGTTTACAAACAGGAACAAAACAGAAGCGATGTTGCTAATGTATTGACAAATGTATCCATGTTTTGTTTTTTTTTTGTCTTTATTAGCACTTATATTTAGCACTTATTATTTAGCACTTATATTACTTATCACTTATCTGCCTGGCCTTACAACAATAGACACTTGCACTCACCGGCCGCCACAGCAGACCACATGACAAAGAACATTCCCACTGCGATCCTCTTGAGCGAGGAGGGCAGCAGGCCGCGCCGTTTCAGCATGGGATCCACCACTCTGTCCTTAAGGGGGATCAGCAGAAGGATGAGCACTGCATCAAACATAGTGAGCCAGGCTGCAGGGAACCGGAATATTATCTGAGGGAGAGGAAGAGGAGAATAAACTATTAAACTGTGCACAAAAGAACAAAAGAACAATACATGGAGTAAGTGTGTTCCAACACAGTCTGCCAAATGTTTCAGAGAACTCAAGTAGTGCAGGTCTGTGGAAGAAAGCTTAGTCTTAATACAGCTTTGGCACCCCCAAGTGGTCGAAGTCAAACATAGGCATATAAACCAAATATAAATCAACAATTTGAGGTTTCAAATCTTAACTCCAATTATTAGTATACAGTACACTCTCATATACATATCTACATGTATGCAAATTTACATCTTTGCCATTGTGAAGTGTAATTAAACCCTGAGCGATCTTCTGAGTGGAGATAAACACAGATTATGCAAAAAAATGTAATGTCTAATATTAAACTGTGTATAGCTCAGCTGTTGCTGCTTTATTCAACTACCTGTAATGAACCAAAATGTAGGTTTACAGCAGACACATAATTGCACAAATATTTAAATCAAAAGACATAAAAACATTTTAGGTTTTGTGAGAAATGCAATGATTCACTAATAATTACATGAGGATAAAAAATGGGCCTCTTTTCATTCAGTGGAATTGTATTTGATCACAACAGAATCATTGAGATGTGTCAGGTGAGGTAAGAGAAGGCAGGGGTATCTAATCTCACTTCCCGTTTGATGTTTCAGAAGTGTTGAGACCAGAGCTGAAATGGCTTAGTTCTGTTTTTGTAGCAGACATGTTGTGAGAAGAAATAACCTTACCTCACCATTAGTGGTTTGGAAAATAAGAAGTAACTACAGTATAATTACTTGTATATTCTGCAATTAACATTTTTATATACCATAATGACATTTAAACTTTAATTACAAAGTACAGTGCGTCACATGCAAAGATTTAATCTTATATAAAGTGGAACTGGCACATTGAAGAGATAAAATCACAGCCAGGTTGCTAATCTGTGAGGTATTAGTAGTGAATCAAGTTGTGTCTTAATCCCAAAGGCATCCCATATCTTTAATGCTGCCTCCAGCTGTTGCATACCATTGTATGGCAGTAACCTACTCACTTTTGCAGTTCAGCAGTGATTATAGTCATTCAGATTCTTTTAAAATGAATTAACAATATTAAGAGGAAATTTCAAAATAATCACGATTTATTTACTTTTAAAAATTAAGAGGTGTTTTGTACATGCAGAGTTACCTTGTTTGGGTCTGCAGTGCTGTTGGGAGAGGAAATATAAGGAATCTTCAGATGGAGGCTCTGCAGGATGTAAGTTGTCTGCATCTGCAACACAATAAGATTAAAGTCACAGCATGAGGTAAATCTGTGTCTTATGAGCACCAAGACACCTGCTGGAAAAATCATTCTGCAACTACTGCTTATGCTCACAGAGTAAGGTACAAAGTAGCTACTAAGTCTCTGTTAATGAATACTGTCTGTGTAGTGACAGAAGGAATACATATTATGATTTACAAATGACAAATGTATATCCAGAAACATAGTAAATACTGCATATAGTATAAATACTATAACTTCTGCTGATTGATCATACCTGGAAATAGACAGTCCAGTATGGGATGAGAGCAAAGAAAACTGGGAGGATTTTCATCAGAGCTTTCACTTCCTCAACTTTGTCCTCAGGAAATTTCCCCCCATATGTCACTTTGGCACTGTCCAGTAATGAAGGTTTGTTGCTTTAGAGACAACACAAAACAAGATTAATGACAAATCAGTATCAGTAAGCTCGTGAAGGCTTTTGGCATGACAGAAAAGAAACACATGGATATACAGACTTATTTACAGCATTAAGTGTTAAAATATGACAATCCATAACCATTATATTCTAGGGATGTAACAATAACTAAAATATCATGATACCATATCGTCAAAGTTCTCACAATATATCGAATTGCAAGTCTTAAATTAAGAGTTATGGTGCAGCAATAGCTAAAACAAAAGACAGAGGGAATTATATAGACCATGATCCTTCGCTCCATTTCAGTGTAAACTAGAAGAAGAAATAACAGTTCTAAGCACTTTTAAGTCTTAGTTCTTTGGATTAAGTCTTGTCTAAGCATTTTAAGAAGAAAAAGTAGCATATTAACAGTTTTGTTAGCCTCCACAAAATATTGCAATAAATATCGTACTGTGAGGTTCATACTGTGACGATATCATATCATGAGACTTGGATATCGTTACACGCCTATTATATTCTTCTTAATTTGGGCTAGTGTCCAGGCATCTAATCTTGAGTTCATAATAAATAATGTCTTTAATAAATATTTTAAGAGACAAATAGAATTCGATTTTTTCAATAAACACATGACTCACCGAAGCTGGTTTGTCTCTTTGGGTTTTTGAGAACAGCAGGCGAAACCCAAAATTTTGAACATATTTGTGAAGGCGCTGCCATCAGCTGGTTTTGTGATAAACACAGTACGACCAAGTAAGAAGACAATAAAAGAAATTCCCAGACACACTGTGGGAATAATGTAGCCAGCCTCAAAGCTATTGTTCTGCTGGATGTAGGCCACACATCCCAGAGACAGAATGGCTCCCAGGTTTATGCACCAGTAAAACCAGTTGAAGAATCTGCGTGTTGCTTCTGGGCCTCGGTCTTTCACCTACAAAACAAGACAGTTAAACAGTAACACAAAACACAAAAACAATGTAACAAAAGTAACACAAGACAAAAAAAAAATATTTAAATTTATACCTAATTCAAATAAACAAAAAAAACAACAACAAACAAACCCCAAACCATTATGCCAGTACAACCATTTGGACTATCTGCATATGATAAAGTTAATAGCTGACTACCACATGTCTAACAGCTATAACAGTAAAAGACATTTAAAGCAGAAGTAATTTTTTTTTAACACAGACACAAATAGCAACATTACATTTCCTCATTAAAGTGAAAAGGACGTTTTTGCAAGTTTTATATTATATCAGGATATACGTAACTGCAGTAACATCAAGTTACAGTTTATATATTTACTGGCAAAGACCATCCATTAGGGTTAAATAATCCCTTGACTATAATACCAAATGGGATTTTAAGAATTTGCGTAGACCGATAACGAAACAATACGGCAGATTTGGCTTGGTCTGAATTTTGTTGTTCTTGCATCTTAATATAATAATAATTTTAAAAAGGAATGAAGGAAGGGGTGAATGCAGTCTGGGAGTCCCTGCTCAGAGTGTTGCCCCCATGACCCAGCCCCAAATAAGAAAATGGATGGATGGATGGAAAGAAAGGAATAACTTTTTTAAACATAACTCTGAAAATTCTGAAATGGTCAGTAAAAAAGTATGTGTGTATGTATGCATATCAAAGTGAAGTGTCATGGTGTTAGATTATTTCCTATCACATGATTGGTCTCCATTAAGTCACACTGAATACCTAATCTTGTACACATCAACGATGGAAGTCAGTGACAAGAGTCTCTATTGTGAGTGTAACTTCATACTTTACCTGGTCAGCTCCAAACGGAGTAATATTTGACTTGACGGTGCCCACACCCAAAGCAATCAGAATAAGTCCAGTATACAGAACTGGGGCACAGTAGGGGTCACGGACAAGGCAGGTAACGTTGCTTGGTAGGGTACCATTTGTGCTCAAACACTCAGCAGGCTGGACTGGGAAGGCCTTTTCTGGGCCACAAAAGCCAGTTCTAGTATCTTCATTTGCGATAAAAGGGAAAAATAGCATTCCAATGAAGTAGAGTATCAAACTAGCTGCAATTGTCCAAAACTTTCCGAGATAAGCATCAGCCAACCACCCTCCAAAAGGCGATATCAGGTAGGTGACACCCATAAACATTAGAAGAGCCTGAGTAGCTTGGGTCGCCTGCCAATAAAATGGATTCTTATTGAGAAATAAAACCAGATTTGATGTGATGCCATAAAATGCAATCCTTTCTAAAGATTCAGCCAGAAGTATAGCAGCACACGCCAGTCTTCTCCCCTGGAAAACTGAGGGTGGACTGGGTCTGCTGGTGTCAGAGTCCAAAAGCGGGGTGCTCTCCTGGACATCTCTGTTGTTGTTAGCCATTCTTACAAACTGACTGTTGTCTCTTATAGATATTCTTAGAGATAAACCTGGAAAATAGAACACCAACATCAACATCAACATCAACATAAAGCTAACTGTCAGTACACAAGGAGATGAACAAACTCCTGCAACTGATTATTCTATAATAATTAACTCCAATTTCACCAGTTATAGCTTGTTATTAACGTAATATGGCACAATATTAAAACAAGCTAGCACACCATGTTCCTTGATGGATATGAAGAAAGCTAGTCAAGTAAGTTAACGTACCCTTATTAGTCAAAACTGTCAGTGGTACTTTCCATCGGGGTTACAGGACCTGTTCCTCGACAATTAGCCTTTAGTTTGTGTTGTCCCGAAGCTATAGCATGTCTGAGCACCTCAGAAATCAACAGAAACCCAGCAGTGTCACAGTACTACCGCGTGACCCATACCGCAATCAACAAACACTTTTTGGTCCCTCATGAAGCGATTTATAGATGGTATTTCCGCATCCTAAGTCTGTGCTGTGTACTATCCAGATCACTTGGATATCTACTTCCGGTTACGTGAACGCAAAGTCGCTAAAGGAAGTAGTGATGTGTAGTATTTTTTCATCTTTGAGTTGGTCAAATCATTCATAAGATAGAGTGCCCCTGCTGTCTTGGCTATTGTGTGTTGCAAGGTGTTTATCACAACAATAAATATTGTGTGTGTGTTTCCAGGGAATGAAATAAGAGGCGGACTTTTCACAACATTTCAGGGTGAAGTAGCAACGTGCTCCCCTGTAGCCTCCACACACAAGTGCTACGTGTTAGGTTCAGGAAATGTATATTAGTTTACCAAAGCGACTGTATTTTATGTTGCAACCTTTCTCTTAACTCGTAAGTTAGTTGCTAGCTAGCAAACCTACATATGACACCTGTGTCAAAATCGACATGAAAATTCTGTTTATAGCTTGCCTCAGTCCCAAAACTGGAAACAACACAACAGCTGAGCGCATAAGGTAATGTTTTTGTTTTTTTGTTGTTTTTTTTTTCTTGTTGTTGTTGTTTTAGTTTTTTGTTTTTTTCATAGAATGGTTCACTGAAACAAATTTAATTCAACGGGATTTATTATATAACACTCTCAAACAGAATAATCTACAGGCTATTATTTGCCTATTTTGAATAACATTTATGTTGTATAAAAGAATAAAAATAACTGTAAAAATCTAAATCTTGAGGTACTAAAATTGATCTCATTAGGCCAGTTACACAGGCTTATATCAGTATACTTAGCTTATTAGTATAGCTAGCTTAACTATGGCTTTATATGACATAGCCTCTTAAGTTAACAGTGTTATTTGGAGCATCGACTCATTTAGTCACAGTACCACGTGGTTGAATAGTGGAAATATGATACTGATATCGTTCACTATAGGGACTACATTGAAAGCGTGGGACACACCTGCGAGCTCAGAGATGCAGCACAATTTCAGTCTTCTGCTGAGGTGGCACAGCTACTGTCCCAAGATCCCCCGTTTGATGGTGCACTGGCAATTCATCTATATAAAGCTGGGCGACTGCTCTTAGGTAAATTTTCTCAAGCAATAGTTGATCCTTTCATCATCTTGCTGTCAGTGATATGTGGCTCACACATGTTGACAAGTAGCTAAATTACAATACCGCTGCTTGTTCAAGGAATGCCATGACCTTTATGTGTTATTTCTGACCTTTACAATAGATATTCAAGTACCTTTTGGTGTTATTTTTGGAGGAACTGACATAAATGAAGATGTCAAGGTCGAACAGAAGCGTTTGGTAATGGAGCAGGTGCTACAAAAAGCCAGGTAATAAGGACTTAAAAGCCAATTCAAGCATTTTGCTCCAAATATTTTATTTTGAAAGATAAATAATTGTGAAATACTAAAGTAATTTAGAGAGTTCAACATATTCATTCTAGGTATGTGATCAGAATAGCATATATTATGAAATCTACCAGCATGAAACTTATTTAAATATATTTCAAACCCACTTTAGTTGGATTTTATAATCTCTCAAATACAAATTTAAACATTATGAATATGGACAAAGGCCAAACAATAGTTGCCCTAACCCTAGACAGAATGTATTTATTTATTTATTTATTTATTATAGCATTTTATTATTTAAAAAAAAAATGTATTCAGTGCTGCCCTGTACTAGACTTCCTCTTGTCTCCTGCATTCTGTAAAACGATTGTAATGAAGTGAACACTAACATTGAGTGGAACTATCAACAGTCCTGTAGGACAGAATAATTGCTCTCTGCATGAGGTGGACAGATTCAGGTTTTAGTCTTTGCAAACCACTGAAATTGAGGCACCACCTGCTGCCTTGACTCTCTTACATAACATCTTGATCATATACAGGATAAGCACCATTACCACTAATGCACAGACACCAATATACCTTCTTTCTTTTAAATTACATTTGTTCTCACTCCTCTGTGCCAACATTTGGAGCTAATGCTTGTGTTTAGCTATTAGTAAATGCTTTAAGGTTGTTTTTGGCTGTAAGGTTACAGTATGAAACAAATCAGTTTCATGTAGTTATATTTTATTGCTGATTGGTGAAAGGAGACGTATCAAGCAAATCGACTTAAATGAGCTTGTAACCATGTCTCAAAGGTGTATTTTCTTTTGTTCATATTTGCACAATCCTGCATTGTCCTGCGTTCATTTTGAGGCTTCTGTTTTCACTTAGTTCACACATTCCACTGTACTAAGGAAAATGGAGACTGAGTATATATGTTCAGAAATAGGTAGCCTTTTTTCCAAAACATGTAATTAAAAATCTGCCATCTGCTACCATGAAATTCCACCATGAAGAGGTAAGCCCTCTATTGCTCTCTTATTTCAACTGGAAGCCAATGGACCCATTTTTAACTGTGTTAGAACAATATTGTTTTACAGTTAAGTGTAAAAATAATGATCTATATATGCCATAGCTTATAATGGAATACCAGAAAATTTATAATACGTCTTCTTTAAAAGCAACTGTTATTAATGTCAAATGTGCTGGATACATATTATTTTAAGATTTTAGAATGTTGAGCAAATAAATAATTTTAGAAATAATGCCCCCTTAAGGTATTCTCTTATTTTTTAGGTTTGCTGTTGCCTTTTCTGAGAAAATGAAAGAAACTTCTGGATTATTTTTGGTAGGTTGATGTTTTTTTTTACTTTCTGCTTTATAATTTCTTTTTCTTCACAGTGTAGTTGTTTACAACCAAATGTTTCTATTTAGGCAAAAAAAAAAAAATTCTCAGGATTGCTGACCATAAACCAACATAAACTGATTTGGCACCTGTTTTAGAGTTGCTTTGAGCAGCAGTGACAACCTCTATAAATATGAAGGCAGGGCATTTACTATACAAAGACAATGCCTTGCCCTGTTCCCTAATAGTTCAATGTTAAAACAATATTACTTTTTTTTTTTTTTTAGATTAGATTTTCACAGGCAGCTACCGATGGACCTAGCTTGCTTTATCTGTGCCATTTTGATCTGACAGCAGGGCAGGCCAGGGCAGAGACACTGCAGTGGGTTTTATTAGCAGGGAAAACACACAAACGGGATGGGTCTAGTGTGATAACAACCAGTCAATTTCCTCTCTGTCTCCACTGATTTATTCTGTCACACTCTTGCAAGGCTTCAACTACATTTCCAGGTTTCTTTTAAGTAGTGGATGAAGGTTAAAATTACATTAGCTTTAACTGCTAGTACTAGTGAATAGTTGGTAACAGATTTACAAATGCAATTATTAATTAATTCATCATTGCATTTATATAGCACCTTTCAAGATACCCAAAGCACTTTACAGTTCATTATTCATTCACTCAACACTCAATGGTGGTAAGCTACTACTGTAGCCACAGCTGCCCAGGGGCAGGCTGACAAAAGTGAGGCTGCCAATCTGCACCATTGGCCCCTCCGACCACCACCATCTCTCTCTCTCACACACACACACACACACACACACACCACTTTCATACTAGGCAATGTGGGTGAAGTGTCTTGCCTAAGTACACAACAACAGTTTTTGCTATGGGCACCCCACTGTGGCACCTGGAATTCCCATCGGTCTCCCATCCAAGTACTATGCAGGCCCAGCCCTGCTTAGCTTCTGAGATCTGACGGGATCAGGCTTTGACAAGCTGGTATGGCATAACTTTACAAAAATGTATTGAAAAGCTACAGTCAAAACTGATTCTTGGATATCAATAAAAATTTCAGATGCTCATTATTTGACAGTTTATAAAGAAATCAATCGTACGTAAAACTGTCAAACCATTCCATGTTGATTTTATTTTCGTATTTCAAATATAGCTTTGTAGATTTGTTTTAGTTGCAATTGGCTCTTTAAGAAAAAGTCTATTATAATGCCATATAGTTGCATTTTACAGTTTTTCTCCTCCACAGTTTTCCCAGAGGTGTAAAGTTTATGTCCAACCCCAAGGTAAGCTCTGCCAGAGGAGCCTGTTATTGTGTATCCCTGACTTACCAATGTGAGCTACATTAATCAGCGATGACATTTTTCCCTATTATCTGCTGTACTGTGAATTTGCTCTTGCTATTGGCCAGAGTATCACGTAGTACTTGTACCCAACGAGTAACATAATTTAGAAAATAGCTTCTCCACACAAGCTTTTTCCTGTTTAGCTCTGGCTATCCAATAGCTGCTTCTCTAAACCATAACAATGCATTTACTTTAGGACCACAATAAATGTGTAAAACTGGTATATGTAATTGTATGTTTGTTTTCTTAGGCATACAGACAGCCATTGCTCAAACATTCTGCTGGACAGAGTTCTTAAGATGCACAGGTATGCTCTTATTACCTATTGTTTGGACAGAATTTTATCTTTAGAGCTCACGCACTGTGACCCGTGTTTCCTTGTTTGGTTGATACATACAAGAAATAAATGTGTTTCTTTGAATAATAACTAGGTGTAAATTTAGAATTTAGTTCATACATTTGTAATAACAGTAAAGAATACAATTTTATTCATTGTGCTCCAGGGTTACAAATTCCATTTTTGTTCTTTTCAGTTTTGTGTTATTTTTTGTCCCATTAATCATTGGCTGAATAGGCTGCTGAACCACTGAGCTTACAACATATTCATGCAACCCCACCTGGAAACTAGCAGCCAGAGAATAAATTTATTCCACACATTATATTTGTCGATGTGAGGGTCGGGGAGGCCAATGTTTGCAGCAGTGCTATGTATCTTGTGTTTTCCTTCTTCCTGCAGATGTCCCAAACCCCATTTGAATAGTACTGGATAGGTACACTATTCCACTCTCTGCAACAATGGGCCTGGTTTCAAATTGGACATTGCACAGTCATGTCCATCCCTGTGCATTAGTGCTCATAGATACGACTGTTGAGTTCAGAGAGGAGCTTGATTAATAGCTCCTGAGTCCTGGGCCATTTGTCACTGTGCTCTACCACCGGTTCCAGAATTACTAATTGGCCACAGTCGCACTTTATGCTGGGACAATTCAACACTGAAACTTTGGCTTTTCTTTTGAAATCAAGGTTCTTGTTTTGTGAAATGTAGGTGTTGTATTTAAAATCACAGAATCCGGTGAATAGTTATGGCCAAGCTTGTAATTCTGAGGATGGCTCACAGTTAGCACCCAAAACATGTGCAATGTGTAAATACATCTCACTTATTGTCTGATAAAAACAAAATAAGAAGGTAATAACTATCATACGTGATGTCAAGACTGTTAGAAAAATAATTGCCAAGGTTAGCTGGTTAAATTGTTGGTAGGCTTGCCAACTCAAAAATTAGTGTGCGCAAATTATTCAGTTATTAATTATTAATATTAAATGTATTTTCTGTGCTTTTGCAAGGAAATACTGTAAGTCTCGTACCAAGCCTAGAATAAATATCCATTCAAATATATTACTATGTCAAAACACAATCAATAAAATTGGCTTGGAATGCCCCAAACTGTAGTGTCTACTAAAAATGTGCTACATATGATATGTTTCATATAAATGATCAAATTCACAGCCTCCTTGGCACTTATATATAGTGTATGCTCCATATAGCCCTGACATATTTACTCAAGCTTTCCTTTCTTCTACTTTGTGTCATTCATATGAATAATTAATAAAGCCTATATTGTGCACAGGCTAGCTTATTGAAGTTGTGTGAAGGCTGGGGCTGTGTGGTGTTCCTGTGTGGCTCGCTGCTGAGGTGCCACACTAAAGGACTCCCATTGGAGAACATGAAAGAAGCAAAGGCCCCCCCCTGCCTGACTCAGGATTCATGCCTCTGCTGTGCTTTAGGTGTCATGTACCTTATGCCTGTAAAAACACAGACCACAGCATTATATCTGTAGTTTGCCTGCCCCAAAACCCATGTTATTGGACACCCCCACTGTGTGTCTTTTAAGATGATGTTAAAGGGAGGAGACCACTAGTGCTTTGAGACCAAAACTACTCTGAAGTGAACACTATTTTAAATCAGGGGCCACAAAGGTACATGCAGTTTGAGAAAGTAGTACTTTTGATTACAAAGGCATGGTATTAGCTGAGGTCAGTGTACATTAGAAATGTACTTTGATTGTATGCGACACTACAAGCATATATTTCACATTTGTTTATAGGAGGAATAACCCTTTGAGATGTATCATTTTCTAGTGATCCTCAAGTAGGATAACATAAAACAGATATAGCCTTAATACATAATATATACAGTACGGCCAGAATAACACTGTAAAACCAGCTGTGTAGTTAATCAGAGTATAGTTTAAGGAAGCCATTTAAAGTGACAGGTATTATAATGTGTCCAAGGTGTCTGAATGGGAGAAGTTTCTCAAATAGTCTGTGTTCAGGGTGAGAAGAGTCAGTTGCTCTTCCGACCTACCCTCTCCGAATCCTGGAAATGTGAACAGAGTAGTGTTAATGTGAATGTCGCTCATTTTATTGTGGAGCAAAGGTTAGAACCCAAATACCAGAAAATATGAGGATTAGTGTCTAATAACAATCTGTACTGCTTTATACACTACTAGGGTATATACAGACGTGGACAAAATTGTTGGTACCCCTCTGGCAATGAAAGAAAAATCTGAAATAATCACTGAACTAACTTGAAATTGATAAAAGCTATAATAAATAAAAAATTACTGAAAATTGTCCAATGAAAATCAATCATTGCTTTTCACCTGTGGTTAAACAGAATTATTAGAAAAAACAAAATAATGAAACTGGCCTGGACAAAAATGATGGTACCCTGAACTTCATATTTTATTATACAACCTTTTGAGGCAATCAAATGATTTCTGTAACTGTCAATGAGGCTTTAGTACTGATCAACTGGAATTTTGACCCATTTCTCCAGAGCAAACTGCACTAGTTGTCTCAGGTTTGAAGGGTTCCTTCTCCAGACAGCAACTCCTTTCACAGATGTTCAATAGAACTGAGATCTGGGCTCACAGAAGACCACTTCAGAACAGTCCAGTATTCTGTTCTTAGCCATTCTTGGGTGTTTTTAGCTGTGTGTTTTGGGTCATTATCTTGTTGGAAGACCCATGATCTACGACTGAGACTAAGCTTTCTGACTCTAGGCAACACCTTTCATTCCAAAATACCTTGATAGTTTTGAGATTTCGTTGTATCTTGCACAGATTCAAGACACCCTGTGCCAGTTAGAACAAAACAGCCCCAGAACATAACCAAGCCTCCTTCATGCTTCACAGTAGGGACAATGTTCTTTTCTTGGTGTGCTTCATTTTTGCATCTGTGAACATAGAGCTGATGTGCTTTGCCAAAGAGCTCCAGTTTTGTCTCAAAGAATATTCTCCCAGAAGCTTTGTGGCTTGTCCATATGCATTGTGGCAAATTCTAGTCTCACTTTTTTATGTTTTGCTCTCAACAGTGGTCCTCACATGAAGTCCACTTTGGCTCAAACAGTGATGGATGCTGCAATCTGACACTGATGTACCCTGCCCTTCAAGTTCACATTTAATTAATTCTGAGGTTGTTCTAGACTCTTTGGTTACCATTCGTATGATACAGCTCTTCAATTTGTCATAAATTTTCCTCTTGTAGACACGTCCAAGGAAGATGGCTACAGTCCTGTGGACCTTAAACTTCTGAAGAGCATGTGTAACTGTAATCACAGGAACATCAAGCTGTTTGGAGATGGTCTAACCTGCTTGTCTATCATTTTCTTTCTAGTCTCCTGATACAGTTCTCTTCTTCACTTTCTCTGGTCCATGTTCAGTGTTGTTTCCATCATGTCTCCAAACAGCCCAATGACACATGTCTCCCTTTAAACAGGTAGACTGACTGAGGACAAGTTTGAAGAAACCTGTGATGCCAATTAGAGGACACACCTAAGTTTAACATGTCCCTATTGTCCAAGTATTTACAATCTTTTCTAGGGGTACTATCATTTCTGTCCAGGCCAGTTTTATTAGTTTGCTTTTTAAAATTTCAAAAACAGTGTCTTGTTTTTATTGGCTATTTTTCAGTAAATTTAAATTTATTATTGCTTTTCTCTGTTTCAAGTTATTTCAGTCACCATTGTTGATTTTTCTCTCATTACCAGAGGGTACCAACAATTTTGTCCACGTCTGTACTTAATGTACTGCATTGTAGTACTGTTTACCAGACATAGAAGACTTTCAGATAACCTCAGATAATACTGGTATTGATGTGCTTTCTAAATGAATACAATGTAATGTGCAATGCTGCCTTTTAATCTGATGTTTCTGTTATCACTTCTCAGAACTATACTCTTGTAGACTATAATCTACAACAAATTACAGTGTACATCTGTGAAAACGATAAGGTTTGATTTCAGTAATGTGCCCAGAGGTGATCTATGTATACTATTTTGAGCTGTTTGTGGTGAATACTAACATTCAGATTGGACCTTTGAGGGTTGTTTTATGTGCCCTTCTCAAATGAAAGGGAAATCAACAGGCTTTGCTCAGACCATAATGCTATGCTATAACATAAAAACTCTTTATTTTCTATTATGGTGCCAAGTGATACAGTGCTAAATGGTACCATTTAAAGCACATTTGTTACCCATACTGATCAAATATTTTAGTCAAATTTTACAGACCCTATTGCAAGTGTACTTTGTAGGCTGTGCTTCCATTAGTGCTGCTTTACTTCAGTTTTATCTTCAGCCTTTTGAAGGTCAGGTACTTTGGAGTAGCCATTGACATTCTGCCTAGTTTGTTTGTCAATGTCTAATAAATCTCTGAAAAAGTTTGTTGATCTTGAAAGGTTAATCAAGTAGTATTGGCTTTTAATTGAACTGAGTCCATAAAAGTGCTATTATATTATTATTATTAGCAGGACGATGGTAAGCTAATTGTTTTAATGGCTAAATTGTCACCCAAATGCATTGTTGTGTGCCTTATTAAACACTGATTTGGCTCCAGTGTTTTTGAGGGACTATTTCCCTGCTGAGCGCTCTACCTCTGATCAGAGCACACATTAGTCACCGCAGACGTTTTTCTCTATGACCTTGGGTGATGTATTGCTTTCATTATGTGCTGATGTACTTGGGATGTTCATTATGCAGTGTTTTGATATTGTAACACAATCTGTCTGTGTGTGCCTGGCTGCGCTCCAGATGTTAGCACAGCGCATGTGGATGAACTACGGGTCTTCCTCTTGGTCTGTGGCCTGAGAAGAGTCAAAGACCCTCTCTACCTGGTCCAGGTCTTCTCAGGTAAGTCTTTATTAAACAAAGATAAAGTCAATACATGGGTACATCTTTGAGAGCTATACAGCAGCAAGCACTAGCCTCATTTACTTGGCATGATAAAATACATTTCAATAGATTTTCAGTAGGATTCATTGGAAAATGAATGAGGAACTGTAAAATATATGTCATATATATGAGATTCTGAAGTTCTGATTACCCATAAGCCATCATTGTCATAGATTAATTATGAAATACTAGACTATATTCCTGTCTGCTTATTATCCACAGTTCACTGCATTATACATGCATTTCAGAAGCTCTTTAACTGTATAAAATACTGCATTTTGTTTATTTATTATTATTATTATTTTTTTTTTATTTGTACAGAGTGGCATTGTCAGGATCCTCTGAATGTCCTCATTATTATTGGGCCAAAGGTTAGTACTAAGTTATTTAGTCAGATTTTTCTCAGATTTGCTAAATATATACCATCATAATTATAAGCTTAGTTTCACTTACAATTAACTGCATGTGCGCACAGTTTCTGTTCTCTTTGTGGTACGTGGCAGCCATCAATTCTTTTCTTTTGAATTGTCTTTTCAGAATTCAATTTTGTATTTTTTTTTTTAAATACAATGTTTCCAGTAGTTTAGCAGTACGAGATAATAGAGGCACTGTAAATACTGGCACTTTAACAACACAAAGGCACTCTGAATTGCCTTTTTTTTACTGTGAGGTTTGTTTATTATATGCAACAGTAGCTACAATACTTTATTCCACTTAATTTTCTCAGCCATTGATTTTCTTCTATCCCAGTCTCCTTTTTCGTGTGACTTGATTGGATTTGACGGCAATGTACAACAGTTTAGTTTGTGTTCTTTTTTTCAAACAGTGTTTTCTAGGAAAAAGGTATGTTCTGTCTTATTTCTGTTCAAAAGGCCCTCAATTAGATATGCCTAGAGGCTTGGACAGTCTGTTACAGCTGCTTCCTGCTTTGTTCCTTCTTTCATAAGGTGTAGACAGAGATGTATGGAATATGTATATGTCATAAGCAGAAGTCTATTAAAAAGTTGGTCACATTACCCGTTTTACATTATTACATTATATACATTACATTATGTTATTTATTATATAACAAACTACTAAATTGTAAATGAAGAGGAAGTGATCAGAAGATATAATTCCACTTTGAAAGGTGTGAATTGAGCTTGTGTTTCATTTGGAAAACAAGTGTTTGTTTTTGCATAACCTATTTCTTTGTTGATTTGGGCTGAAAGTTAAATGAATCCGGTGGTGTAGTGATTAAAGGCATTGCACATGTGTAATTGGTTTGACCTCAGGGTCATTGGTTTGCTTCCTGGCTTTGACTAGTTGCCAGATGTCTCTGCCTTCTCTCATTCTCTTTCTTCTCATTAAAAATAAATACATTAAATAGAACTTAATGCACTGCCATGTACATTCAAAGTCACCAAGACACTTGTATTGTGAAAATAAGAATAGCGTTGTTGTTGTTGTTGTTGACATAGTGTCAATCTGCTGTCTCTTCATTCAAATAATGAGAGCTGTGGCTACATAGCATCTGTCATTACAGCATTAAAGGGAAATTCAGGTCAGTTTGACAGAAGTGACTCATCTTGCACCTCTGTAACCAGGCTTAACTAGACATATATATCTGTAATACAGTCACATATACTGTCTAACAATAGTAAGCCCTTCTTAGGGCACAAAATCAAAATTTAACACCAAAGGAAAGGAGCTGAGGAGACCCAGTTTTCGTCAAGTAGATAATTGTGGATTTTAGTGATAATCTCTTTCCTAGCATTTGCCGCACCATTCATAATCTGTTCTTAAATCATTTGCATTTATTAAAACATCCCTGAGATCTAAGATGCCCTATCCTGGTTTTTACTAAATCTCACATTACAGGCATAAATAGTTAAGGTTTCTGATACCATGTGATGCACATACTGCAAAGCTGATTTAACAAAATACACTATGAAATAACACAGAGGAAGTAGCAGCTTGTTTGCCAGCATCTTTGACCTAAATTGCTGCTTTGACTTTTCTGTGGGCAGGCTAATGCATACAAATCCCGCATTGCAATTAATGGGATTGGCCACACACCCCACCCTGACCCCAATCTCTGAAAATAGGGGATTTGCCCAGAATGATTTGCACATGATAAAACTGTAATTGTTTTTATTTATATTCACAGTTTTTTCTTCAGTTTTCAGTGTTGTGTCATTCATGAGTCAGTTGATAAACACAGACATTTCCCCTGAGTTAATTGAATTTCTTGTTTCTTTGTAGATTGATCCTGTTTTTAGCACAGAAGTTGAGTCTGTGATTCATAGGTAAGCATTGTGTTTTATGTGTGGATTTTATTTTAGACTGATAACTATATCAAATAATTATTTATCAAATTAATAAAAACAGCACTGTGTAACTTCAGGTGGAACTTCACCTGCATTATTCGATACAAATCTCTTGTTAATATATTAAATGTTTTATATAATACTGTGGAATATTATATCATCATCATCATCATCTTTATTCCGGACTCATGGTCCATTTTTCCATTAGCCAAAGGAACAACTTTTTCATGGAAAAGTAGCAGGAAAAAGCCTTTAGGCCAAATATGCTGCATTTTTGTGGAGACACAATCCCTCCCTAAGGACGCATGTTTTTATATGTGCATTAAAGATGCCAAAATAAAAAACATGCTTTAATTTTTGGCAAATTTTTGGCTAAAAACACAGTGTTGCTTTAAGGTAGATTGTTATTTATTAATGCAAATGTACTATGGTACAATATCCACAAGCCAAGCTTTAAATTTAAAAACCAGAAGCACTCTATTCATCCTCCCACTCTGAAGTCTCTGCTAATCCCTCAGATTTTGACCACAGGCTCTAACCACAACACCGACCTATGCAGCAGGACATTGGCTTCTCTGGTTCTGTCTTTACCTGAGCTAGCCATGCATGTCACACATAGAGTGAATTTCATACGCTAGGATTGTCTCTGCTGCTAACCATCATTCACGCTTACATGAGCCTTGAGCCACATAGGACCTGGATTTTGCCTATGCCACAGAACAGCAGGGGTCTACATGACCCAGGAGAGGAGCCAAAGGGAGCTGCATGCTGCCATGAAGAAGTGTTTTGCTGTGGTTAACAGCTCACTCTCAGAGGGCATGTCTGCAGCCATCTTGGAGGTAAGAATGTCTTGGTGATTTAGCTCTGAAGTTACAAATCTATGCTCCTGGACCTTGTCAGAATTTGATCACAATAAACTTGCAAACCAAAAAACTTTATTCACCATGCATATATATTGGTATCTTTGTCTTTACCCATGTTTATTGTTATTTCCCTATTTAAGAGGCTATTACTCCATTTAACAGTTCAAAACAAAATAATTTATGTTTTGAATGGTGGAAAATGTCACAAAATGCTGAAAGCTGAAAACTGTAAGTTGTATTCGTGACTATAGTGAGAAACATGTATCAAGTGTCTTTTCATTTGAAAGAATGTTAATTACTCATGCTATACAAATAATTGTGAGTTGACTTATCTATATTTATTAGTATATTTGTGCTCCACCAGGCTATGCACCTAGGTGTCCCTGTGGTGGCCCGGGACATTCCTGGAAATTCAGCCATCGTGGAGCATGGGATCACTGGTCTGCTGTACTCATCTCCTCAGGTATACCACACTAACCAGGTCACAGGCGATAAGCCTTCTTTTAAGCTCTGACACAAACTGAGAGGATATGGCAGATGACAACCTCTCACATTAGCTGACCATAGTGTCTCAGACAGTTTCATCTTTCTAGGAAAGTTTATAGATTTCAACTATATAAAGTAAAAAAACAAAAAAAACAAAACAGATTTCTTAAAGCCAGCCATGTAAAATTTAGGTCTTTGCATCATGACAACTTAAGAGCATGATGCTGTATAACAGCAGAGATCCTTGCCACAGGGGGTCATATGAAGGTGAAGTACAATTCATGTGTAAAGAGTCTGGGGCAGATGGCAACACAGGAACTGGACAAGTTCCAGTGTGCTCTGACATTTGTTTCTTTGAATCACAAGTAGGTCAATGTTTGATTTAGTTTATCCACATCTAATATACAACTTATACTTGTAATAGTTCAATATACTGATTGTTTCAGGTATCAAGTATGGTTAGTACTCAAAAGTAGCAAGAGAAAAACAGTATCATTTGATATGTCAGTGGAGTGATTGTAAGTGTGCTGCTCATAAGTTGACACTTAATCCTGTTTCTGGCTCTTGTACAGTATGTCTGTACCAAAGAGCTATGTCCTCTCCAGACTTAAGCACTTGAGTCAAGCGGACTGCAGGAGTGCTGTAGGATCACATTCTGGTTGCAAACTAACGGTACATGTGTTTTAGGCTTATTTTATCTGCAATACTCTCACAAATGTTGAGGACAAATATTTTAATCTCATAGTATACTACTATTAACCAAACACAGTGATCTTCATTTTATATTAGACTAAATACATGGGTAAATCCAGGTTGCCTCCTTCCTGAATGCCCTGAACATCTGGTTGGGTGACACTGTTTAAAACTAGCTGTCAGTTAGCGTATTCCCCTTCTGTGAGGTGGCAGCTATTACAAGACTATAAAGGGCCATTAGACTGCCAAATTTGGATTTTGAGCCACAAATATCTCAGTCCCTTGGCATAGTACACACATTTCTGAAGTATTTGCTAATCACCGTAACAGCTTTTATCTGAATTCAGTTTTGCACATTTGAATGTCTTTTATGCTTTAAAGATATATCTTAAGGCTACTTCAGTGGTAATTTTGTAGTGGCATTTGGCAGCAATTGTGACTATTTGTGTGCATTCTTCCTGCCAGAATTTTGTGGATCAATCTCAGAGGCTGTCGTCAGATCCTGAGCTGAGAGAGAGACTGGTGAGGAATGGGAAAGTCTATGTGGACGAGCACCACAGTATGAAACAGGAGCGGGAGACTTACCAGAGATTAGTGGCTACTTTACACTGACTGAGTTCCCTTTATTGTCCCTGTATTGTCTTATATACTGTTTTATAACCTGTTTTACATTAGCTTAAACCAAAGACAATCTATGCCTTTAGTTGTTTTAAGCATGTACTGTACATGTTACAGCAAATTTTGTAAAATTATTAGTTTACAATGTACAATATAGTGTTAGCCATTATTTTATTTTTCAGTTTGATTTTATTTTTGCAAAAATAGAACTGAACAGCTCAGGACATAAAGGTCAATCAGTCAGTGCATGATTGTGCCTGTTGAAGACAATAAGCAAATAATTGTATTCAGGCTGCTGGACCATTGCTAGAGATGCTGTTTGTTGATGTGGTTTATAATGAAAAACGATACGGTAGAACACAAGACATTTTGAATGTATATTACTCTGTACTGCAGACTGATCTTTAACAATATTGTATTGTACACTAATGTTTAGTTCATAAAGTGCCTTTTTAATTGACAATGAACAAAACATAAAAGTGGAAAATATACATCTGTGTCTTTTTATGATAAAAATTGTGCAACATAAACCAATAAAAACATATCTTAGACAAGTACAAGTACAAAAACACTTTTTTCATCAGCCAAAGCCACTTGAAATGGTATAGTGTCCATTCATGTTCACTGAACTATTAATAAAATGTACTTTAAAAGGGGCATTGTTTTTGGAAAATTTTGAATACGTTTCATTTAGTTAAATGTGGATTGTATATATGCATGCAGTACTTCTATTTGGTGGGATTGTTTGAACATCATACTTTCCACACACCCATTATTAACATCAATGTACAGTGTATGTAAAATATCTAGATATGAAATGTGGAGCATCATTCCATAAGACATATCATTAAAAGTTTTTGGATCCAACAAAGGCATTGAGGTGATCAAAGCCTGTAAATGTACATGATCAGGTCCTGTATTATAAATGGTCCCCTAGCTCTGTGCTAGGCACTTGGGGCTCCTCCTCACAGCTGTCCTCCTTTCCAACCCACTGGATCCCCTCTCCATTCATCTGGGCTGGGACATGTGAGTGCTGGCGCTCGAGTGTGGAGAAGGTGGTGAACTGGACTCTCTTCCTCTTACTGGTCGGAGAGTGGAGGGACTCAGGTTGCATAGGTTTGGCCCTGACTGAGCCTGCACAGCCAGTAGGAGAGTCAGTGACTGAGGCCAAGCAGCTGGGCCTTCTAGACATAGTGCTGGTCTTCTCCGGCACTATGTCTATTACTGTGGTTGTCTGAGGGTCCTGCTGCACAGGGCTGCCAGGGACACTCATCACCAGCTCTGCATCAGTACCTAACCACACCCAGTCATGCCTATGGCCTGTGGGCTCCAGGTTGTGAGAGGAAGGCTTCTTGTGTCGAAATTTAACTACATAAGAGATGCAGTTGACCAAAAACACTAAAATGGCCAAACAAAAAACACCCAGCAAAGCATACATACCAATCTCCAAGTCAGTGAGAGGCCGATTGACCAGTAACTCTTCTCCACCAATTTCCACCTCCACCCGGTCTTGCCCAGGTACCCCGACTTTAGGGAAATTATTGTAGTTTACCAGGTTACCTGGAGGTTTCACGGTGCTGGTTAAGCTTACACTGCCCATATCCTCCACGATCATGTTGCCTGAATCATTGGGACTGTTCATCATACTCATATTCACTATACTAGTTGGACTACCAAAAGTTCGAGTGTTGCTGGTCTTGCCCACTCCCCCAAGAGTCCCACTTGTGATGTAAGTGCGCTCTGTCGACTTGACAAAAGTTGTTTTCTGTGCTGTACGATCTGAGCGTGATGTTGGGTTGGAAGATTTCCACCTTCCACTTGTATCTGTTTCCACATCATCACTTCCATAGTCATTTCTGATGCTTCCTCTGCTGTCTGTGCTGGAGTTATCTGGACGTCGACTGTTGACTGCAAACTTGACCTTAAGGCTGCCGTTGCCCACAGCCACAGTACTTTTGCGTTTGGATTTCTGACAGGCCTCACAGATTGACATCTCCACTCGAACCAGGACTCCCTCCCCCTCTCCTTCGGCAACCACCTGTGGGGCTCTCCCTGGTACAGACACGACCCCTTCATCCAACGAAGTCACTGTCATCCTGTAGAAGGCTGAGTCATAAATGTCTAGAGGTGTCTGGTTGCCATCACTGAACTGTACCCAAGCACTGACCAACGCTTTCTGAGGAAAAAGAAAGCATTAACAGCTTTTAATTTGTCTCCTCAGAACAAAACCATAACTGACATGTTTAGGATAAAAGTGTTGACCTGTTTGGGGCTCTGCAGATTTTCTTGTGTGGTGGTGGTAGCTAAAATCGCTCTGTTGCTGCCAGGGCTTAACTGTAAGTTCATGGAGAGACCAGTAACCAGCTGAACTCCCAACTCTGTGATTGTGACTTTATCATCCACCACCCTGATAGTTGTCTTTGCCAAAACTGTATCAGAAAGTGGAGAAAAAACCTGTAATGAACAAACAACATTTAGATATTTAACTTCAACAACAATGGACTGAATTAGACTGCTGAGTCTTTATTACTTGAATTGCAGTTGTTCCCAGATCTCGCCCTGACAGCACCCGCCCTGCCTGTAATCGGGCCACTCTTGTGTCCTCCACCTTCATGAAGTATCTGACGAGCTGTGTCACGTCCACCTGCCAGTCTGAGCCAAGGAAGTAGGCCTTAGGCTCCCGGGGGTCCTCCTGCTCTGCCATGAAATGAGTTAGCACTCGGACAATAGCGTGCTGAAACTGTAGCATACATCCCTTTCCCCTCCTGTCCTCTTCCTCACTGTTCCAGTTAGATCTGATTTACAACACAAGACACACCTGTCAGTCAGCAAATACAGTATACATTAGTTGGTTAGATGATCATGAAAACAAAAAACAAAACAAAAAATCATTGTGAGTTGTAGGAAGTGTAAATGAAAATCTGGCTGAAAAACATCTTGTCATCTTATGAGAGGGTGTTTATAGATGTGATGTGAAAGGTGTATTATAAAGTAGTATAATAGTATCACACTGACAAGGATAAACAGTGTAACACCTGCTTATGGCAAATGGCAATAATGTTGGCAGGGCATGACTTGTGTATTGAACATATTCTAAATAATCTGTTGCCTTTTACCTTTTAGAAGTTAATATTGGAACTCTCCAGCTCTTTATCTGACTCAGTTCTGCATCAGACACCTCAACCTGCAGTGGGAGGCGGGGCATCCAAACTTTTAACTCCAGCTGAGCACTGAGGTAGCTGTAAGTGAAGTTCACCAGCATCTTCACTTTACCTTTGGTCTCCTTTCCATTCACAAAGACGTAATCACACCGATCTGACACCTGGAACAATAACAACAAATGTTCAGTATAATATGTCCTAGTTTAATTACAGTGTGTTTGTGTAAGACTGTATACGATTAACAAAATTGGATTTCTTGTTAATCAAGATCACATTGTCTTAACAATAAGAAAGTTTGATGAACCATTTCCATAAAAGACACTATTGTAACAAATAGGCAATTCTTAGAAAAACAGATTGCCTTGTAGCCCTTTTGCTCCACAACTGTTGCCATAGCAATGTCAGCCAGCTATAATAAACGACTGTGATGATCACCAGTCCGAGGCTTTAGGAAGAGGCGCAATTGCAATTTTATGTTAATCAAAATATGTGGTGCAGTGTTGAACATCAGTCCTTCACACCCAAGCGCATTCATTATGCCATAATTTCAAAGGTGACCTTGGTAAGTTCACTTGCAAAGATCTCACGGATATTTTGCGTCCCTGGTAGGCATCAGACAGGAGCTTTGCCTTGGTCCCATCACATTTTAAATAAATTAGATAATTAATGCTGCATTGAAATTCACTCACTATTGGCTCAAAAAGTACACCAGGGAATGAAGGGGAAAATGTGAGCCGTAGCTCTGGAAGAGGAATACAAATGGCAAACCTTATTCAGATAAGCACAACTGTGAGCTTGGGGTTGATATGTCACGAAGAGCTGTTATTTTTGAGAGCATGTTGTTTCATTACAGCATCTGAGTCAGCTGTTATGTCCCAGGACCAGAAGTAGAGGGTTTGAATGACCACACGCTCCTATGTGTCATCCTTCTCACACTGCAGTGCCCTGACCCTTTGCTATCCATATAAATAATCCATCTTTTGATTTATATCCATATCGAAGATTTATGTAGTCTATGTAACTCCACAACCCTTGAAGACTTATTAACAGGGAAATATATTGCACCTGAGACTTACCAAACTACACGAGTCACATAATTCAGTCACATCATTCACAGTAGAAAAGTGCACCTCCTTCCCATCATTTTTTTCAAACCAAAATCACCAACATCTACAGCCACCTCCCTGCATTTCCGTCCCTCGCTCCTACCTCTCGCGGCCCTCCCACCACTTGCTCTGCCCTGTCCCATTTCTCCCTGATCTTTGACCTGTCTGAACTTCTGAAAGGCATGAAAACCCCCACCTGTTCCCTCAATCCCATTCCATTCACCCTTGTCAAAGCCTGTCTGCCTGCTCTGTCCCCACTCATCACTTCCATCGTAAACTCCTCTCTGCCCACTAGCTCTGTACCATCTTCACTCAAGCTTGCCTCCATTACTCCCATGCTCAAAAAACCTGGACTTGACTCTGCCATTCCAAACAGCTACAGACCCATCTCTAACCTCCCATTTCTCTCCAAACTCATCGAACGTACCGTTGCCACCCAACTGAAATCCCACCTCACCACCAATAATTTGTCTGAATGTTTACAATCCAGTTTAGCTCCCACCACTGCACTGAGACAGCCCTCCTCTGAGTCACCAATGACCTCCTGCTCTACCCTGACTCTGGCAATCTCAACATCCTCATCCTTCTGGACCTCACTGCCACTTTTGACACCATCTATGACTCCATCCTCCTCTACCACTGCAAGACTGCCTTCAACATTACCAACGCAGCCCTCTCCTGGTTCACCTACCTCACCGACAAATACCAGTTCATCCATATCTACCGCTGCAAGTCCCCCTTTGCCCCACTTGCTCAAGGAGTTACCCAAGGTTCAGTTCTTGGCCACCTCCTCTTCATACTCTTCATACTCTACATCCTCCCCCTCTGTCATATAATCCGCCACCACGGCCTCCAGTTCCATTGCTTTGCAGATGACATCCAACTCTACCTGTCCACCAAATCCATAACTCTAGCCACACATTCCACCCTCACAAACTGCATCTTTGCAATAAAGTCCTGGCTACAGTCTAACTTCCTCCATCTCAACTGCGACAAAACTGAAATAATCATCATCGGCTCCAAAACACTCACCAAAACCCACAATAATCTGACGGCTCCTCAGTCCCCTCCTCCTCTCACCTATGTAACTTTGGTATTTTCTTTGGCCTGACCCTCTTCTTTGAACACCATGTCAAACACATCACCAAAGCTGCCTTCTATCATCTCTGGAACATTGCTTGCCTCCACCCATCCCTCTGCCCTCAGTCTGCTGAAACCTTCATCCACGCCTTTGTCACATCTCACCTCATCTACTGCAGTAGCTGCGCTATGGTTCACCCTCCAAACTTCTCAATAGACTCCAGTACATCCAGAACTCTGCTGCCCACCTCCTCACCCACACATCCTCCCGTGAACACATCACCCCTGTCCTCAAAGATCTCCACTGGCTCCCCATTCCCCAGAGCATCAAAATCAAACTCCTCACAGTTGTGTACAAGTCCCTCCATAACCTGGCCCCCACCTATCTCTCTGAGCTCTTCCACCACCACATCCTCACCTGTGACCTCCGATCAGCTGACACAAACCTCCTGTCTCCCCCCTTCAGAACTAAACAAAAGACCTGGGGGGACAGCGCCTTCTCCGCTGGTGCCCTCACTCTCTGGAACCCCAAACACATGAAAGACTCCTCCAAAACCCTGAAAAGCCATCTCTTTAAAACCACCTTATATCTATCTATATCTATCTATATATCTATATATTATATATATATCTATATATCTATATATATATATATATATATATATATATATATATATATATATATATATATATATATATATATATATATAATAATTATTTATTATTTATTTTTTTTAAGTAGCTGTATTTTTACGTCGTACTTCTCTATTTCTCTATTATCTGGGATTATCTTCTAATTATTATTACATTCCAGTTTTGTGATATGAAGTCTGTTAATGTACACTAAAAGCCTGGCTAGCAGTGTATGTACTGAATTCATAGAGCAGATAAAGTTGATAGAAATACAATCTCATCTTTGAACATCTCCACTTTAAAATAACAGGAAGTGACCAAATAACAGCCATTTCTGAATTTTTTTCTAGAATGAATTATTCCTCCTTAGTTATGATATTTACAATATATTTTTCATTCATTTTGGCTTTTTTCTTCTGTAGATCAGTGCATGTTGATTTGATAAATTGATTTGTACTGGATATTCATTCTGACAGAGCTGTTTTTATAATCCATCTTGGGACTGGTACAAAGATAACACATTCTGGGACTACTAGATATTAACCTGATAAATCCCTCCCATCTTTAAGCAAATAATTTCCTCAGACCAGAAAAGATATCGGACCCATGTGGTTTGACTGTAAGAAGATTAAAGAGAATATTTGTGACTAAAGCTGTTATCTGATCAACAAAAGCATTCAAATCTGTTGCGAGCTTAAAACAACAGCAAAGATGGCTACATTACAGCTCGAAAAGAATCAAAACATAATCTAGCTTCTCCTTGAAATCACCACCCACTTTGAGCACTGTATTTATGACTCAAGTCTATTTTTTAACATGTGTCCTTTGCTCTGGTCCGCTTTGGGACACACTTCCAGTCAAAACGTATTAAGTCCAGTGCACAAACTTCATTCTTTGTTTACAATGCTGTTTTACCCTTGAGTAAATACATTTCACAGCCTTTGACCTCAAGCGTAGGGACCTGACTTTCAATTTCATCAGTAAACAAAGCCGGCTTTTGGCAGTCCGCCGCAGCCAGGTTCACTGGATAAAGGGACGAGTCAAAGGGATGGGAGCGCAGAGGCGCACTACGAGGGCATTTGTGGAGAAAAAGATTTGGCTCAGTGGCTGTTCATTGTCGACAAGATTGATGCGTAATGTTGTCAGACTACAGCTAATAGTTTGTTTTACTGTGTGGAAAATAGGACAGGGAGCACTGGGTGACTTTGGTACAACATATTTGTCCAAAGCTGCACATGAAAGCCACCTTGACTCCTATTGTGTGGAACACTTTGGTTGTCCCCACTTGGCTCGTAACTGGGTAATTTCAGCAGGTAGTGATTGAGGCTCTTAGGAAAAACGCATTGGTACTGCCAGCGGTACAACACACAAAACAACTAGTCTTGCAGAATGAGATAATTTTGTAATGGGTATAATTTCAACCACTTTGGCACTGTGACGTGGTTCTACCCACCAAGAGAAAAGCATATTTTATCAGATCAGGATACTTGTGGAGGAAAATGTTTTTGGAAAAGCAGAGGTAATGTTATTGAAGTGAACAACTTCTAACAAACCTGCAACAGCTCTTCTCTTTATAAAATGTATATATTTAAGAAAATGTATTCATGTAAAATGAAGTAGTGTCACCAAAATATAGTTATTTTAAAACCAATGATAGTAGCTATGAGCAACTGACAAATCATAAATAGAATGAAATTAATGTAAATGATCATTAATGACCTAACCCTTACTCTGACAGATGGATAGTGATGCATTGTTAGTGTTTGATGTTAAAGTTATTTAAAATCAATCTATAATACAATAATAATAATAATATTGTTTCATTAATATTTAGCTGAACAGTTAGATTCTAACAGTGGTAATTTTTTACATTCTGTGTATGAATGGACAGATTTAGTGATGAGAATGGAGATATCACATTCTACAGAATATAGAAAGTGTCTATGTTCTATTCTCATGAGAAAACTGAAGTTTTGGCTCATAATTTCTCAGTACACTGGTGAATATGCACACAAACATGGATACCTCGACTACAAAATGCAAATGTTTTTCCCTCTCAAAACTATGATTTATTTATTGAAGTCAGGATACCTGTTAAACCAGTCACACTGCTCCTCATATGTCCAGACCCCACCCCAGTTTATTACTGTATTCATATCATTTGAAACATAGGAGTCAAGTCATTTCATAAAAGAAAGGTGGTTTAACTAAATATGATATATATGCACACCTGGATTATAGTTACCCTCTGTCGTATCAAGCCTTTAAGACAGAGCAAACTATTGCTTATTGGGTATGGACAATACATTGTAAATGGATGACGGATCAGTTCTATACCTTCAGCACGTCCTCATCATTGGTGCTACAGTCTGTGTAGTCTGACACGTCTGTCACTAAACCGTCCTCCTCCACAGCCACTGTCCTCACAGGCATCACCACCTTTTTACCAGTCAGGACCGCCGTGTTCAGAATCTCTGAATCCTGCAGACAAAACACATATATTTTTCTCAAAGAATTCATAAAAGTTAGAAAATTTTCATGGGAATTATTCATGGAAATCGATGGGAATAAATGATGGGAGAAGCTTTTCTTCAGACAAGAGCATTAACTTCTTACTGAAATGGAAATAATAAAATAAAAACACCACACAACTCTAGTGCATTGTTCATTTGTGATTTATGAAATGAAAAGAAGAGCAGGATTTGGAAGGAGAAAAGAAGTGTTCAGTGAAGTGTAACTTGGAGACTAAAATGTTCTAGACTTCCACTTTATAAAGGCCAGAGGAGCTGCCAGATGACCAGACTTGAACTGGGCTGGAAATATTAAAGTATGACCTTTCTGCTGACATGACAAACTAATGTAAACTAGCCCTGTGAGCTATATAAAGGAATTACATTAATATGATTTTGTGAAAAATAACCAAAAAAATAGCTAAGGTTTAACACAAACATGTCAACTAAAAGCAGGACATAAAGTACAAAAATGTAAGCTTTTTGGAGATTTTATTTATGACCAAATATGACCAAACGCATATTCTGTGTGTGTGGTCAACAAAACTCACAAGTAACTTACTAAAATGTAGGTCACCATTTTTTCCCATGCAAAGTCTATCTAGAGTATGCACATGTCTTTGTTTGAACGCATGAAAAATCAAAGGGCATAAGTGAAGCAGATGGATCCATGTCCCCTCCATGTTAAACACGCTGTTTTAACTGAAGCTGAGCTAACTGAATAATGTAGTTGAATCATAATGAGTGCAGTGGAGCAGAGCCCTGTCAAGTCCTGTGGCTCATCATTTAAATCAAATGTAAAAGGACACTTGGCCCAAGTCAGAGCTCCAAAAATGAACCAGATGGATCTGGCTCTGTGTAAAAGTGCTTCAAATGAGGCTTAAGTAAGTGAGCATACTTTTTAAAACTGTCATTACTGCATAGTTAATCTAGGAGAATATAAGGACATGTCAGAGGTTGTTAAAGAGAAGTATTGAGCACCCATAGCACAGTGGTCACAGGAGGTCAGAGAGGGGAGTGCACAGTGATCAGTCAGTGATAATGTTCTCCTCATGTTTGGCCCTAAGCCTGAGGTCAGCATCCACACAATCACATCTTCAAATCAGAATAACAGCCACTCGTGCTCAAATTCAAGTCACAGATATGTACCATTATTAGTTCATAGACCTGTTTTTTGTCTGTTCTGGTTAGTGTTCTGACTAGTGTCTGACTATTGTCTCTGGGTACTCCGGTTTCCCCTATCAACCCAAAACATGCACAGTAAGTAAAATCCTTCAGCTAAGGTGACCAAGCTGAAGACAATGTCTTACTTGACATTACATACATTTGGTTTACATATTGTTTGGAATAACAGACAGCCAGAGGGGGATTTTCATGCAGCATATCAAATAAAAATCACAATACTCAAGTTATACCATATTAATAATCATAGTGATGGTAATGGCCATATTTAATGAATGTTTCTTTCTGTTCTTATTTATTTATTTAATTATTGAAGCTGGACAACACAAAATCATTGCAGCAGCTGCATCTATGAACCAATGACGACAGATGGCACCAGAAGAACAAACAACATGGAAACAAAAACAGTCAAAGAGCAAGGTCACTCCTCTTGCACTCAGAATAGAAATGCATTTGCTGAAAAATCCTAAGCACATCCAGGCCTTGACAAGCTAATATGTAATGGTGACAAAGTGAAATGAAAGTGGGAAGAGCAAGCTGTACTATAAAATACAAAATTACAAAATTAGGTCCAATATTACACTTAATTAACTCTTCTGAGTCATGTTAGAAAGTTGTTACCTCATCAAAAAAAATACCCAGATTTGTGTTTGGTTTCATTCACACATGTGATGTTATGTCGTGGTGTTTTCAAGTTAACAGCTGTCTTTTACCTTTATTTCAATAGATATTGACAATTCCAGGTCTGAAAGGATCCAAATGATTCGAGTGAAGGTGTGGAGCACTTCCTGTATGACATGACATGACATGACATGACAAGATGGAAAAAAGTGCTTTTTGTTTAAGAGAATAATTCATCTTAAATATGAAGGGATTGTGTGTTAAACATGTGTGAATGAAACAAAACACAGCTCCACATATGTTTTTGATGAGGACACAACATTATAAGTTAAGTTAATAGTGCCCATTCAGAAACCTATCCTTCAGTCTCAAAATTAACTTTTTGGGTAATGGAAAAGCCTCATAAGCAGATGAAAACCAGACAAGAGCACATCCAAGGGAGTGCATTTTATGATATTTACGCGCCAATGCTCACAGCCTGCCTCCCTATGTGACTATTATTGGTGTCAGTTTGACTCATGATTAAGTGTGACGTCTAAACTCACCATTACAAGAGGGGCTAGGCCTACGAAGTCTCTCTGTGTGGTGTAGATGCGCATGGCCCCTTCGGTCTTGGCACTGTTTTTGGATTCGGTCGGCAGCTCGAGTTTCCACACAATCACCTGACTGTCAAGGGGACTGCTCAGCTCCTCTACCTCAAAGTCCATCTGAAGCACCTCCAGCAGGCTGCTTTCAAGTCTGCATCAGAGAATATACAGAAGCCGGGTTAGACACAGCGCACAGGCACGGTACAGTATGTGGCTTTACACAAGAGACACCTAAAAAAAACTGCTAAATTAAGTGGTTAAAAATGGCTTAAGTGATTACAAATAAACCTATACTGCTGTATTACTTTAGTAAATGTTATGTTTTTGAAAATGTTGTTTACTTTTAGAAATTACTGTGAGTAGTGAATCTTGAAATGCTGTGTTTTTCATGCTAAAAATTAAAAAGCGCCAGTTGCACACAATTCAAGTGATTAAAATAAACACAGCATTTGAGTCTTTTTGCGGGTTTATTAATGATTATGATGATTATGATTATTATAATGGAAGCATTGTTTTTTTGTTTTTTTTATTTGTCTGAGGAATTCAATATAAAGGTAAACATATTTTGGGTCAGAATCCATACATGAGTCAATCCAGGGACTGAAGGTGGGGGGAAAAGGCAAACAAGTAAAGCCTACGGATTAATGCACATTTCAATAAGATTTAAATACTATTCCTTCATATACACAAATCAAGGCAGGATTAGCAACACATCTAATCTCATGTATAACAGTTATTGTGATGACTTTACTGCATTTATCATTATTATATATTTTCAAATGAATAGGAAAACAGTGTTACACATCCAGCAATGGAAATCTTAAACATATTGCCTTGTATTTCACATATTGCATCATATTCTGTATATCACTTGTATTGGTTCAGAGTGTTTCTATGCCCACTGTATGTTTTATTTATAATGATGAGTCCAAACTTCACCCTGAGAATTTGAGCTTCGAATACAAAGAGCCAGAATCTGAACTTGCACCTTGACCTTTTCTTTTGACCAGCACCTGATGTATACACACGTTATTTCTCAAAGGCAGAGTGAATTTGATGTTGCTGGTAAAAGCATAAAACTGATGCATCTGTTAAACGTGAATAGAATACATTGCATTCCTTCCTTTTTGTAACGTATAATGCCCTTTCTGTAGCAAGAACTCAACGTTCTACAGAATACTAGATTCAATTTTCTGCAGAGGACCAAGTTATAGTCCTAAATTTTATTTTGCCAAAGAGTAGAGAAGATAAATTGAGAGAAGATACATTGTTGGGCAAAATGTTATAACCATGCACATGGCCACTCAGTCTTATCAGTGGTGTGGCATCTGCGTGTGGAGGTTACAAATATCTGTCACCGAATATAGAGGGAGTTTGTTTATTGAATGAAAATGACCCTTGAACACCTCCTTACATACCAGATGCCTCTCTGCAGCAAGGCAAGTCAAGAACAGAAATAGCAAATTAAATTACATGGCATGGTACATTTTTAAAATATAGCAATCTGAAGATCACAAGCCTTATTATTGCGTTAACATCACATAACATTCAATACTGGTTTTGTCTTTTCCTTTTATTATGAACTTTTCCACTAACTGCTTGTCTTCATGGAAATAATAATAAGTATAGTAATAGTAACTGAATAAAAACATGATATATATGTTTAAGGCCATATTGTGGAAAATTCTGGGCAAAGCAAAATCTTCACATCAGTTGAAGGTTTCAGCTAACCACACATTGCATATCCAGTAGACAAGCGCCTTGCTCAGAGACATTATGCACTTCAAAAAACAACAGCACTCTTTAGTGGATAATTGTATTCAGTGGAAGAGAGCCAACCTATTTTGATTCATTTGTTTAAAATGCTTCTACCATTTAACATTGGTCCACTACATTATTCAAAACTATTTTACAGCTTAATACAACCTCACCATATTGAAATGCAAGTTAATATTGGGTCAAAATAGCACACAGTTAATTCACAGAGGCTTATGTCCTGTTAAGTATACATTAACATATTTTTACACATTGTTTTCTCATGGTTTTGCGTCACTGTCTATGACTACTAATAATCCAGTTGTTTATAAAACAGCTGCAAAAACATTATGAGTGTGATTGCAGTGTTTGTTGGTGCACTTCTTCTGGCTGGGAATAATAATGGTATAAGAATGGAATAAATACATTTTGAAGGCAAATGCTCCAACAATGTAATTTAGTTTTCTAAAATATGACATCTTTGGTATTAAAATACTTTGTGTTTATCTTGTCGGTCATGAAGGTTAAGTCTTGTCTGTTTCTTGGTGACAAGTATAGTCACTGACCACATACACATTTAAAATCACTTCTGTATTTGCAATCAATAATGTACAGTAAATCGGAATGGTGCCAGTTGCTTAGGTCAAATATTATATTGAAGTAGTAGCACACAATGGTGACCACAAATCATATCAACATTTTAACAACATCTATGTTTAAGTGCATAACCAATTAAAAGGCAGCCAAGCAAGAAAGTGGAAGCTTAAAGGAAATTAGACTTGAAATTGACTCTAAGTGCAATATGGCTTGCTCTCATAATCTACCAAACTTGTTCAGTCCAGTGAGGTGGCAGTGAAGCAGAGTTGAAAGTGTATCTCAGATAAGCTGCTTGTTCTGAGATGAGAGGAGCCCTTTTTAACGAGGTCACAGGGCAGGATAAGTACTTCTTAAGTCTACCACATGTGGAGAGGAGGACTGAGCTACCTAGAAAGTCAAAACAAAACTGCCTTGCCTTGGCACTCAGATTATAATGACTGTTGCCAAGGTATAGCTTACTTCTAGATCATTGCTTGTACTTAAGTTGAAACAAGATTTGCTATCTTTTTGTACCTCTGCTCTTACCTTTTTCCAGGAATGGGTGCTTTCCGCTGGCAAACAACTGCAATGGTTCCATCTGGTCCCATGTCCAGAGTAATGTCCCACAGTACAGAGTTACTGGGAGTAGCTGTCCGAAAAGTCACGCCTTTCTTCACCGTGGCTCTGTCAGAATTTAGAAAGCAAACTATTATAAAAAGTCTCATTGGCAAAACATTATTTCCTGCTTTGAAAGTGTCTTCAGTTCTTTTAGCATTACAAGTCTATACATCAATACAATGCACATGCCACATCACCACTAATATGTAAGGTCTGTTTTACATAAAATTGGACTCTTGTGAGCTTTAAGACATGTTATAATGTTGTTACCTTCTCAAAAACATTCCCAAAGCTGTGTTTTGTTTCATTCACACATTTATGATTATTAATTTATGATTAGTCTGTCTGCAACTCCAAAGCTCAAAATTCTCTGTTCCATCTGGTGATGTCAAGTAATGGTATTTTTTACATTAACAGCGACCTTTTAGCTTTAATTCAGCAGAGATCAGCAATTCCGAGCTGAAATTATCAAAATTATTCTTCTGAAGGTGTATGGAGTTCTAAAAGACAGTGGGGCACTTCCTGTATTACCACATGACATCAGGGTGGAAGATGGAGTGTTTTGTTTGAGAGAGGAACATGCAGGGTTTGTGTGTTAAACATGTGTGAATAAAACAAAACGTGTATGTTTTTTATTAAGAAACAACATTATAACATAGATCAAAAATAGTGTAATATAGGACCTTTAAAAATAATTCCATCTTTGGGCCATGTTCATAGATCCTGACAGTATAAATACACTTTGAGGACAAAATAGAGATGGATCTTTCTTGTATGTGGTCAGAATGTTTTGCTTAATCACTGTAGTAGTATTCTGTGCATGCACCTACAAGTGCTAATTGGTAATTTGAATCCTTAGCCTCCAATTTGTAAAACCAAAGTGTCATGTAAGGCAAAAAGAGCAGACCTTTCCAAAGGGCTTTCTCAGCATAAGCAGCTCACTGTAGATAAATGTTAATGAGACAAGCCACCAGAGTATTTAGGAAGTACACGTCCAATCAGACCTGTGTTAAACCCGTAAATGTTCTAATAAGTCTCGCTGGGTGTTTTTGGCCAAATGAATTACCTCCATCAGTTCAAAACAACTTATAATAAATCTGGGGATCTCATTTGCATGCTGGGTCATTGAGTTTATCTGTGAAATCTTGCAGACAAACAAAGCGTGGAAAACATTATGGGTCTCTAAGGACGAGTAATCAACAATAGGAAAGACAGGCAATCTGAAACGCTGAGGGATGGGCATTGAGCTGAAAAACAAAAGTGATTCTCTATTGGATAGGCAGATTGAGATGTTTTTCAGTGAATGCACATCTTCATTTTGCATTACGGAGCTCATAATATTCCAAACTGGTCCCTTGTGACCCCTACTGCCGGACATGACCTGCAACCTAAGCCTAGCAATTGTACAGGTTTTGTCTGGTTCTCTGATGAGATGGATTGGTCTCATTTTGGGGAATTTGAGAAGCTGAAATAAGTTCAAATGGTCAAAAAGCTTACAAGTCAAAGGTTAAAAAACAAAAGAAGATGAGGAAGGTGTCTTTTCAACAGAGGTTTCAATCCTTTTTGGCCCCTAGGGAAACTAGAACCAAATGCATTTTTACTGATGAGAAAATCAGTGGCAATGAGAATGGAGCTAAAAGGTACAATCACGCTGCAGCTCACCATAAAATAATGAAAAAAAAAAACATGTATAAGCCACAGGGCTTATAGTTTGCAATTGAAAATGACCCCAATCATCAGAGGTCAGTATGAAAATATACATCAATACATTTGTCTATTCTACACAGTTGGATTTAATACTGCCATAGATGATCATGAAGATCCATGATTACAAATGAGTGGACAGTTAGTGTCAGTTGACCATCATACAAACATATAGACTCAAAGAATATGTCCTGCCAGCAGCAGTTTTTTTTTCTATAATAATACATGAAATGTGAAGTTTAAAATGTATTTATTTATTGACTTGTGTGACAGATATTTGTAGATATCATCATGTAAATTCTGCCGTAATTCAGTTCAGTTCATCAAATCTAATATATTCTAAACATTTTCATATGTATAAAAATGTGCTTTTCAAGTGATTTGTAATTAGGGATGACAGTGGATCAGAGTGGTCATGCTATAATCCTTACAGTTTGACTACAGCTCAGACCAGAGAATGGTGTTGACCCTGTGGCTACAGCTGACCATCACCATCTGCATTTCATCCATTTCAACTAGACCCTATGGGCAACCTGTGAGGAACAGTGTGCAGCTACAGTGCACAAACGAGAGACACATCTTCAGTTCTTGACCAGAATTGGTCAGGATTAGCCTAAGGTGTATATTTTAGGATGATGCGTTAAACTGGAGTGCCCAGAGGAAACTAAAAACTAGCGGACAAAAAGAATGATCTCCACTTCAGCCTTCAGATACAGATGGAGAAGTTTGCTTTCTAAAGGCATTACTGACAGGCACAAACAATTAATTAGAATATGACTTTCTCTTTTGTAACTGTATTTCAATGAAAGCATATATAGTTTACAGTCCTGTTTCCGATATCACTGGATATGTACTGAAAATAATTAGCAATGACCTTCCACAAGTATAATTTTGACTGTTGGTTTATGTGCTTTTATTTATAAATACAGCTGAAGTATAAAAGCACTCAGTCTGTTTGGATAAAGGAAAACCTTCTGAGACTATAATTGGAGAATCAAAGCATGTGGAATAGTTATTGTATTAATGGGCAAAATATTTGACTCCACTGTGATAAACCACCTTTGTGTATTGAGCTGAATACCGCAAGCTTTAACTAATAAAAAGTGACAGTAACAAGAAGACTTATCTGGAGCTGCTCCTTCGCTCTGTTCCCTGTGTGTGAAGAGAGAGCTCCCCTGTGACCAGAGGAGGGGGTATTTTTCTTGGGACGATCCAAAGCCCTGGGCCTGAGCAGCAGTGGGCAGGTGGGGGCAGGGGGTGGGGGGATACCAGGGCAAACAAGATGGATGTGTATGGAGACCAGAGTCGACAGTGTGTGAGGGCAGCCGCTCTGAGGTGATGTACCTGCCATCCATCTCACTTCTGACCAGCTGGAAGGAGCACTTATTCTGCCTTAAACAAACTCCAATGCATAAAAAACACTTGAACATATTTGAAGTGGTTCACACAGTTGTCACTCCTCCAATTAGATGGGGGCAAAGCCTTTCATCACCAGACATGTCATTTTCTTATCTTTTTACTGATTTACAAAGCTCTATTATGAACAAACAACACATTAATAAACATGCATATTAATATAACCACTACTACTACTACTACTACTACTACTACTACTACTACTACTACTACTAATAATAATAATAATAATAATAATAATAATAATAATAATAATAATAATAATAATAATAATTAGCCATGGAAATAAATATTCTGAATATAAATATTCTGTTTTCTAGAGAGACACTTTTATTTGGCTCATAACGTCTTAGCACACTAGTGAACACACACACACAAACATGGATAGCTCTACTTCTAGGCCTACAAATGCCTGGTACCTCTATACTACAGAGGACATCACCCACCTCTACGATGATGGCTTTGACCTGGAGGCTCTGCTCTGCGCTACACCAACAGGGACCAGTTAAAAGCCACAGGAGACCTAACTGGTGTCTCCCTGCATCCCCTGGAGGGGAGAGCTCTGGTTAGGGCACTCCATGACAAGTTGGAACTAGCAAGTGCCAAACTTGCAGATCAAGTCCAAATAAGCAATTCTTTGGACCACAAGCTTAGGTCTCAGGAGAGAATCAATCAAGAAAAAGCTTCTTCTCTCCAGAAGAAATACAAACAACTGCAAAACCAGATTAAAGGAGATCCAGTACCTGTACAACTCTACAGTACAGAAAAATGTACAGCTGAAGCAAGAGCTTGCAAACTCCAAAAAAATCAGCAATAAGACTGATGATATGGAGATGCAAGAACTTAAAGCTTCTCTCCAGAAGAAAGACAAAGAGCTGGAGCCCTAAATGAATGCATACAAGGAGATCTGATATCTGTTCAGTGAGAGAAAATGTCCAGCTCAAAGTGGAGCTATCCAACACCAGTAAAGTCCTTGAAAAGAAGGAAGGAACAACTTAAAGCACAGGACAATATAATTGCTGAGATGAAAACACAAACTGGTCTGATCCAGAGGCCCACAAAAGCTCTCAAACCATTGGTTTTGGATTTGGTGGAGATGTAACTCAAAAAGACAACAAGAAACTATCCAGGAATGTGCAGGAACTGTTTTATGAACTCTTCTCAGCACGAGAGGAGATATGTCTCCTGACGTTTTGTTGTGAAAGTGAAAGAGCATAGCCATCCACCTGCCCAAAAGGAGCCATAGTAAAGGAGCAGAAGAGGGTGCTTCAGTGCTACTACCTGTGCTACTACCTGTGCTAGTACCAGCGCTAAAGCCCCTCCAAACTTTACCCTTTACCCTATACACTATTATACATAAATAAAACATATTTTTTGAACATTATGTTCTTCTCTTAAATGTCTGTGGTAGTTATTCACGTTAACAGCTTCACATGTCAAAATTTGAATTCACATGCCATGCTGCAGTTGCTTAATTTTTATTAATTGGAAATAGAAAAAAAATTGTAATATATATATTTTTTTTAAATCTTTGAAAAAATGCTAGGCAGCGCTGTTGAGTCAGGTCACTTGGATATTTTTGCAATGGGAATTTTATCAACTTTTTCTCCAGGGTAGTTAATCCCATACCCGTTTTGGGAACTTTTCATCAATGTTTAGGTTGTCAAAATCGTGATTGTTTGCAAGGAAAAATAATAATAACACTGTTTGTAAAAATACATTTGTAAGAATAAAGGACTTTTATTTTTGTAATTAGTGTGCCTTGGACTGTTTATTCAAACCTGTGTGGCATACATTGTGCTACGATCTTGATCTTGTATTTTAATGTTATTTGCTTGTCCTGGAGAAGCACCTGATTTTATACTTAAACGAGGCATTGATACACTCACCCCACTTGTCTTACTTCTCTAGTAGTTCATAGGTTCACTACAAGTGCTCACTCCTCCAATTCTAGACACAACACTGTGCAAAAATCTGGTTATATGTTTTCTGCTTTACCTTTTGAGCTACTGTCATAATCAATGGTATAGTAAGGAGCTTTTTATAAAACAAATCCCAAACATGTTTTATAGTTATTGTTCCACCCAATAATAACACAAATGTTGTAACGGCAGGACATAATCTTTACCACAATGGTCCAGACATGGATTTTTGATGACATCACTATAAGACCAATTGAAGCCTCCGTGTGCATCAGAAGTTTGGCCCTGGTGCTCCTCTCTCCCAAGACACACATTGAGATGCCACGTGCACCAGTCTAATTGCCTCCCTGATATAATTTGTGTTTCCTTCAGTGGCACTGTGAATGCATCACCTGAGGGCTGCTGTATCAGGGGTGAGCTCCGGTGCAAACGCAAACAGATGCTGGAGTAATTATGCAGGCAAATGTCCACAGTTTAGCCAGTGTGATGGGCGGGTATCAGCGGCGTGCTCCTTGTACTTATGGAGCAGTTTGGGGAGCTGTGGGACGCTGTGCCAACACTGCTGCCAGATGGCAAGCAGCACAACTCTAAAACGAGTGTAAAAGACCTATTTGTCACACAGATGAATGGATCGACTCACAAAACTAGTCAAGTGCTCACTGACACTGTTCCCGCTCATATAAAAGTAAGCTTTATTTATGATCCAGGCTCTGCCTTAAATAAAGACCAAAGACAAAAGTATTACTTTGCGCATTGTCCCAATGCGAAAACAAAGGAAAATGCACACTTCATTTAACAGCACTGAGGCTCCACTAATGCCTGATCTAATTGTCCTTCATGTGCCAAGAGGACGAATGGCTTTACAATACTTTATATGTGACCTTTATCAGACTGTGTGGAGATGACAGACTCATTTGGAGAGAATGGACAGGTGTGGTTTGTCTTTTTCTTTGCCGACCTCAAATCTGTGTGTCCCCAGACTGAGACTATACTCATCAATAACAGCTTTATCATGGTGATGGGAGAGCATTAAAGCACAGGCTAATGGGAGGCGTAGACACTGATAGAGCCTGTGAACTGAATGTATGGCTTGTTAATGTGCTGATAAGCTCACACATTAAAGTACCAAGAGGAGTGGACCGCCTCATGTTTATGAAGAGGGGAACAAGGAGGAGGAGTGTTGTGTTATCTAAATGAAGCTGAGCAGTAATAAGTGAATGGGACAACATGAGGAAAGAGTGACAGAGGCTCCCAGGCTCTCAGATCACAGCTTTGGAATCAGGTGTCTACAATCTGTCGACCCAGTGAACAGCTGTGAGGCTTCTGTCAACTAAATCAGAGTCATACGGGCTTTCCAAAATGGTTCACCGTGTGATGTTGTACTTGAAAAGCACTGAGTGGAGTCAAAGCAAAAATTTACAAAGTATAAATTATTTAACCGAGGTGTGAGAGCTGATATCATTAAAGCACGGGGTATTTCTATTACTTAATGCCATTTATAAATCAGGCTACAGGGGTTTGCATAATGAAGAGCAATACAATTAAACAATTTAACAGTTTAAATCACTGAACAATTTTGTATGTATTTTGTAACCTGGAATAACATAGCTTTCTTTGTCACATCTGCATCCAGGAATGGCATCCAGCATAATTCACACTGTTCCAAATATCTAGGCAAAAATAGTAAAATCAAGGGAAAAGAACAAAGCTCTCAAATGAAAAATGTATTCTATTGAGTGAGACTGTACTAGACTGTGTGTCTGGCTCCTACTGCAGCGGTCTCCAGTGGCCTAATTTTGATGTTGCTGATGTAATGACGATTTTATGCTCATGTATAAAATGTGTTTATTATGAGGATTAGCTTTTAGCAGAATTGGGTGTTCAGGTTCATCGAGAGCTCTCATAAACAGAAAGAGGCTTTTCACTCTTAAGCGAAGCATTTAAAACAAATAACTGAACCCAAATGCAAACTCAAAATGCACCCTAGCATTTCACTGATAAATCTAAAAGCAACTATATAGATCTACAATAAAACGTGCCATGTGCTGAAAATTTTAAGTGGTGGGATGCTTTAAACTTTTTGATGGTTCACAACATTTCTGACTACCTTTAATACAACTCTGAAAAGGATGAACAGCACGTCAATGCACAGTTGTCTAGTTAATCAATATTCGTCTATTGTGGCATTAACTATTGATCTGAGTGACTGTCCACAGGTCTGAGTGGAAATAAATAAATATCTACACAGAATTAACAAACCCTGACACTTCACCTGCTGGACTCCACTGAAGCTTGAGCCAGTGCAGGTGCAGGGAAAGCACACTACCCATTACACAGTGTATTGATTATTTAGCCTAGACCACTGGGGTTAGTTAAGCTGGATGTTGTAAAGCTCATTTTACCATTTTATCTTCACAGAATGGATTATTGACAATACACAGAAGAGATTACGTTTTATGTCACACTCTTTGTGGCCCAGTATGTACTTTGAAAACATTCATTTACAGACTGATATAGAAAAGTAACACTATAGATAATGAGACGCCTGAAGACCCTACAGGAAAAAGAAAGTAGTGCTATAGTAACAGGAGGAACTATACTAGTGGCAAAGATCTGAAGTCACTGTCACACATGGAGTAATAACATGTAAATATTATGAACATATGATAGTAGCACTAGTAGAGGATATCTCAGTACACAAATGTAAAACAAAACAAAAAACAAACAAAAAAACAAACAAAATAACCACAAAAGTGTAAAGATATTACTGTACTATATCAGATGTGTCCAAACCTCTTTTTCTTGCCTTGAATTTATTAATTTGAATGGTTGTAATTACCAAATTCCAAAAGCTCCAAATATAGATGCAAAACATTCTGTCTGCATACAACAAAATTTACCATCATCTTTACAAACATGTTTCATTATTAACTGAACTGTTTCGTATTTTAGTTTTGCAGTTCATGTTACTGACTCTATTAATGTAAACTCTCTTGTATGTAGTAAATGTGCACGCTGTGAGCGAAATCCTGATTTTAGAACATAAATCAAAAATCAAATTTCACCTGTCAGAAAAAATTGCGATTACATACTTCTCTAAAATAGTTTCGCTTAGAATGCTGTGTCCTACATACAAGCCTAAAATTACATTTTGCAAGAGACATACAGTTCATATGTAGATATATAACCCTGCCTTTTGCACTACTGTCTGAGAAAATGGAAGGCAAATAGGATGCACTTTACATCCCCCTCTTTTCCATGATTGTATTTCTTCCTATAGTCACATATAGCTCGGAGCAGTGTTCAGATAAAGCTGGAGTGGTAATTCAGAGCCCTCTAAATGAGCTTCATTATGGAGGGTGTCACTTATACCTCCACAGGGACAGACGCCCTCTCAACGTGCCTCAACGTTTTTCATCTCTGATCCGACCACAACATAATGCAGCGTGAAGCAGGAGCACAGCCTGAAATTAAATTGAGCTACACCGGTAATCCTTGTGATCTTCAATATCCACATTCGATAGGACTGTGTCAAACCTATATAGCCTTTAAGTGAGTGATCCAAAAGCTGTACACGTGACTCGGTCTGATCCAAGCCAACCTTTATAACTACAGATCGGAAAATACCATCTCTCGGCTAATGTCATCAGCCAGGCACACTCACACATGTATTTTTCTAATTTCCCAGGAATAATCTACTACTCTTTCAGCACCAATCCATAAATCTCATATTCATCATCACCCTTCATTTTTATAGATCAGAAAATTATGGCTTTGTCTGTATCTGGAATTCTTAATCAAAATTTTCTCTAATCACTAATCCACATTGTGATTCAAGTTAAATTTAATAAGGCATTTCTTTTGTGTAAAATAGACAGTTCTGTGGTAGGGATATACTCACTCCGTAATAATGCTCCTAGAGATTGACAAGTTCCCCACCTTAACCTACACTCTGCCCACTATTAAGATGAAAGGTCCTATATTACACAAAATTGACTCTTGGAGTTAAAGAGCTTTAAGCCATGTTCTCAAACACATACATGGAGCTGTGTTTTGTTTCATCCACTCATGTTTGAGTAATCCTGGTCTGTCTACATTTCCAAAGCTCAAAAAACCTGTCCGGAGCAGTGAGTGCTGCAGGGACCCATCTCCAGATCTTAAGCTAGGCTGGTCAGGACTGCCTTAGCTGGCGGATTTAACTTGTGCATGTTTTGAATTGATGGAGGACAAGGTTGTTTAAATGTGGCTTATGCATTTTTATGAACCTAAATTATAGTAGAATGAGTGCTAATAAACTAAAGGTCATCTTACCTCAGAGTAAAGTTGGTCAGTTGTGCAGAGCTGGCCATGAGGATGTAGAATGTGGCTATATCAGTCTTCTTCAGTGGTTTGGAGGAGGTCCTAATCACAATGGCATTCCCCAGCTTGAGTCTGGATAATGTTGCCATTCCTTTAGGGACCTGTAGGAGGCGAACACTCCCAATCCTCTCCATGGGTGTGACAGGGGTATACTCAGGCTGCACTGGAGGATCACCCCAGCGACTTTCCTTCATTGCATTACATTCTCCATCGACTTTGGGCTGGGCCTGATAGTATAGCTCCACAGGGTTGCCAGTAGTTGGGTCCTGTCTTTCCCTGCTTGTGCCCTCTACTCCTGGGGCAAACCAGCTGAAGGCAGGGGACAGCTCAGCCATGCAAGTGCCCTTATCTCCCCCAAGTGCGCATGATCCTCTAACCTCCTGTGTTTGCCAGAAAGCGAAAACAGTCACACATGGTAACTCATCTGCACTATCTTCACCCCTGCCCCAGTCTCTACCAGCCACATAGAAGAGCACACGAACTTTAGGCTTGGAGGAAAAAACTCTGGGCGTCAGAATAAACGCTTGAATTTTCCAGTTGAAGGTGAAGTCTTCGGGAGCGTTGAAAAGGCGGATATTTTGGAGCAGGTCTTGAGAAATAAGTTGTTCAGTGGAGATGGCCCCATAGCTAGCATTTATAGCAGGTTGGCGGTTTGCTCTAATGATGACAAATGGTTGAGTGTGACTCTGTGTGCTGGAGTTTCTCATGAAGTCTTGACCTGCCTCTTTCAAGAAGAGGTACTCAGCATCTCGAATCTCGTAGTTTATTGGTAGAGAGATGGGTAAAGGCACTGGGTTCTTACTGTCCACCAGTTCTTTACTGCTTGTGTCTGGAAAAAATATATAAAAAGTAGGTTAGGAATTTTAAACAACAAAATTAATGCTGGATCAAACATAACATGTCTTTATCTGATACAAACTCGCTGTAAAACACTCCAGAATTTAAGTTGTGATCTGTGTTAAAAATTAAAGGAATTCATTTGGTTAAAAAAAAAAAATCACCACCTACTCAAAATATTATTCAGACAAAATTATTTAAAATGATATCTTTCATTCCTATTAGGCTGAACCAATTCCATTTGCTTTACTAAAAGTAATGTGTTTTATTATTTTAAAATGTGTAGTTCCAGGTCTCGCATTGGTTTGCTTGTCAGGGTTGGTGATCTGTGAAGATGGCATTGGAGCTACTGGCAAAAGTTTAGAATTTTAGGATTTAGAAGGCTTTGCAGACACACAATGACTGCTGTGAATAGATGGCTACCACACAAGGTCAGACACATGAAAAGATCATAATTACTTTCATTACAGTGCCATTTGATAACTCCTACATGCTGATTTGTGCATGCAGGGACTGACGAACAGCGCTATTCCAATCCAGTAGTGTTTACTCATCCTCAACCAGATGAATGAAAACAGCAGTAACAGGGGTCAGCTGTCAGTCATCACGCGTCCTGATTAAACCTCCATTTCAACAGAATTATGAATCTTATACGCATTGACCTGGTGCAATTTATTCTGCAGGCTAATTTCTGAATTAAAGACAAGAAACATTACTCAACATTACAATATCATAATACATGGACGAAGCTACAAACGATAGTATTCTAAATGAAAGTGGCAGGAGTGATCAAACAAGTCATCATCGCAAACTAAGACTGACGGCAATGTCATTTAGCAAGACAAAATCATCTTGTGTAAATTGTAAGTTGTGACAGGAAACGTCAGGCCATGTCATGGGGTAATGAATTGTTAGTAATAGTTATACAATAAGAAATGCTTGGAAGAAAATGTCCCTTTTGGCTGCTTGCCCTGTCTATCACGGTTATCTTAAATCCACAAAAAGCCTGTCAAAACTGTTTGATAGCACCATGCACAAACTGAACATGTTACAATTACGTCAAACCAACAGGACTTGAAAAGCTATGGAGTTTTTGTCTGAATGCCATGTTATAAAAGTGGACAACTGTTGGTACATAGGCAGACTGCGGAGAGTGGGGGTGTCTTGGCTTAGAGCATCTATGGCAATAGTGTGACAGATGTGCAGTTTTAAACTAGAGATTGCCTTGGCTATGGGATACATGTGTACATACAGGCAGGTCTACAGAAGAACATTACAAAACATTCAAGATTGTACATGATAAGTGGAAACTACTGTTGTTATTTACATGAAAAATGACATGTAATTTATGTTGTCAGAAAGTGATTTTGTTTAATAAAGAGTTTCAGTTAAAAGTATAGTATCATGCTATAGAATGAATTTGCTTAATAAAAGCACACATATATTTGTATTTATGTCAGTATTTTGTTTGTGGTGGGTAATTTTAACTTTATGGAGGTCAAATTAATCACATGGATGTTCCAGTCAAAAGTAGGAAGATGAGGTAATCTGTAATATTCAAAGACAAATAAAATGGCTTAAATACATACAAAATAACTTGAATACTAAGAGAAGAGAAAAGGAAAAGGAACGTGTGAGGATTGTATGTGTATTATGAAGTGTATTATTTAGGAGGAGGGTCAGTGAAAATTCAAATTTCTTCCTCTCTCCCAAAGAAAAAGACAGGCCTGGTCTTGTGGTCATGATGAAACTCTTGCCCTCGTCTCAGATAAAGATGAGTTTCAGATGCAGCACCAGCTGCTGTAGCCTCGGAATAAGTGTGTGTGAAGACCCAGAGCTGCCCCAACTCGTCGCCTCAGTCACAAACCATCAGTGTTTCATGCAGATGTTATCATGGCCTTTAAAAGCCCCTTAGCCAGCATGCTACTGCAAACACTCTGTTCTACTTTTATATTTCTCTTTCTGTCTGAGATTGGGCCAGGCTTTAAATCATGTGTGATGTTTATCTACCCCAATATATCAGTGCTTACAAGTAAAATCATTTCTTAAGCTTTTGAACAGTGTTTCAAAGGACTATTTTAAAAAGTAAAATGTATATATTTTTAAAGACATTATTTGTATATCTTTTATGTTGATAAAGAAACACGCTGATAATGCTGATAACTTGTCCTTGACTCCCAGGAGGAAACCACCTGTACGACTCCAGGCCCAAATAAAGCTTTGTGTTTGAAAGGGCATCCAGCGTATTAAAAGATCATGATTTACTGTGTCAACAACCGTCATATCACAATTTCAACATAAAATCTACAAAAATGTCACAATGATTTGAATGTTTTAGATAATGTCTCCAAATAAGAATGTGTTTGTTTTGTTTTTTTCATCCTCATGATTGACTCTTGACTCAAACTGTAAGAAGTCGCTGTTTGGCTTATGACCTTTTAAGAAGAATAAAATGTACTATGATGACTAAGACAAATTGTTGTATGAATCTATTAAAAGCCCAAGCATCCATTGTGAATCTTAATGGCCATTAATGACTTGTGCCATATGTTCAAAACAGCTTGGAAAAGTCAGCTGCCTCCAGAAGCACCACAAGAGTTACTAATCACCCTAAACCTGACTTTTAATGTTTCTCTTGTAAATAAGAAAATTATATGTGTTTAGAGTCTACCCTGACGATTAGTTATGTCAATTTTTGTACAATATGTCTAATTTGAGACAAATGCTTAATCACTAAAACAACTCAGGAAATCAAATAGAAAATGAGAAATAGGCTAAACATTTACAGGTGTACCACTATTGGAGCCAATTACTTAAAAGGTCACACTCTCAAATTAGTTATGTTATTCCTGGAGTTGAATATTTGTACATAGACAATGTGCAGCATATCCATTATACAATTACAATCATTTATCTTGTCGTTACTTACAATTCCTGCACACATGACTTTGTTATACAAAATATTATGTATTTTTATTTATAACGACTCTAATGAGAGTCACTCTATAATGTCTTTCTATATAGATGTTATTGCTTTGCCTTGAATGTTCCACAGTGTAGCAATATCTTCCTTGAATTTACTCAATTCCACATATTTTTATTGTTGGAAAAACATTCTTAGTACTATCAGCAGAGTCACCACTCCGTAAATATGACTTGAAAATTGGCAACTTCAGTGTCATACTGTGGAACTTTTCAGGCAGAGCAACAATATCCCCCATGACAAACCCTCCACGAGATAAATTACGTAGTGTACCTTTAAATGATGTATATCTACAGAGAATACATTTATTCATGATTTATTCTGATTCAGGCAGGCTACTGACAAAATAAAAGGTGATGATGCATTAGTTAGGATCTATTGTATTTACATTTTACAAAAACTAGATGCAAACATTTTGAGTCAATGATGATGGTTCAGATGGAGCTTTAGACAGGTGAACGTATAAAGATGATATAGTGATCATCTGGGAGCACAGAGGGGCAGAGCAGGCAGACTGAGGCTGATAAGGAGAGAGGAATAGAGGACAGTGGGGAGATTGAGAGAGGCTTAAGCTTGTGCAGTGATTGGTAGGGATTGCTGTGGCCAATGCAACTCTTAAAGCTGCTTTAAAAAATCTGTTTTATCACAATTTTTCAATTTTTGTCATCTTTTTATCCATAAATCAGCCACGCCAGGAACCATTCTCTGAAAATAGTCATTATTGGCTTTACTCTCATAGGCTTTTGTTTGATGTTCAGAGGAAATGGAAAGTAAGAGTTTTGTTTTACTTCACACTGGTGCTGTCCCATTTTCAGTCAGACATCTTTAAAGAAAGGCATTACTTCCCAACAGCGAAGGCAAGCCACAAAACAATAGGGCACAAGTTGTAATAAAGCCCATCAAGTCTTTTACCCCTTGCTGAATGTACCCTAAATGTTTTATGTCCAGCCCAAGGCTGCCAGTAAAACACATATGCTTGTGTAGGACTCTTGTGATACAGTTGTATCACTAGAGTTTGACGTAAGTTTGTGCCACAAATTAGCAAATTTATCTATTATTCAGACATCACCGAAGGGCTGTTATAGCAGTCCTGGCATTTCTTACAACAGCCTCCTTTGCGCACTTCAGCAGTAGACCTTGAAACAACGTACCATTTAATGTTTTTTTTCTCAAAAGCAATAACTAAACTTCAACATGGTTTACATACTAACACACATCACAGCGTTATTTCAGATTTACGCATGCACAAGGTTATATTTAAAAATCAAGACAGGGCACTTACCTTGTGCGCAAACCGCCGTGACAGTTGCTATAAGTAATTGTGCAATCTTGCAGATTTGTTGGTGACAAATACTCATTTTGGTAAACCACGAGGATTGTCCGCTTTTGCCGCGCAACTTATCCAGTCTCCGTGTTGCGAATTGGGGTGGTTTCTCCCTTTAGCAGCAGAACAAGATCACAGTTTCATCCATGTCCTCATGCAGCGTGGGGACACTTAGTATGCGGTAGTGTAATTACATCTGGCCAGTGGGCACACTAGTGAGCGTCCAGCAGGTAAGATGCACAGGCAATGTCCAGCCGCTCCTTGCCTGTGCGTAAAAGTTGCGCGTAATGCTATGATCGTCTCCACGCCTCTTCCCAGACTAATATTCCCTTTGAGAATGTGAGAACTTCAACAAGTGACTAACGTCGTTTCCTCTTGTCGCCTTGTCGCCAGGGAGCGTGCGTGTGCGCGCTGTTAAACGGCTGTTAGCAGATCACTGACTGTCTTGTGAGCAATCCTTAGGGCACTAAACTCATCATCTGTCACTGTTCATCCGCTCAGGAAGCTACGTCCTGGACGCAGCTGCTATAGGATTAACCCTGCGTTGGGTTCCTCTCCCATGGCTCAAGAAATGATCACGTGTGATGTATTCAGTCTCGACTGGTGTTTGATCCTCTTCTCTTGATGTCTCGCATTGACATGACCTGGGGGCATACAAACACACACGTGCAGTTATTGTGTCGGAATAATAGTGCAAAGCCGACTAATGAGCAGTGCCTTACCATTTTCAATCCACATGCAGTGTTATCAAGCCTGTTTTCTTTATTATAACTGCAAAAACATTACAGAATTTCCTGTGAACTACATTCCTCCCCTCAGAGCTAATTACCTACTCCGTCCTCCCTCCCCTTCACGCCTAATGAGAAAACAGCAGCAAACGTCTACTGTAACGTTCGTGTTCAAAAGTAACACAATTTTGTGCTGGGCATGTGCTGCATGCATCCATGAGCATTTTTTTTTTCTTTTTTAATCTACAATTTCGCCAAATCAAACGCGGGCCAAGTGATTGACGTGACTTTGACAACTTGAGATGGGTGTTTAGTGCCCTCTGATGGTGGGAGCGATTATAAATGGGGGGTAAAGTAAATAAAGTGGTAACCAAAGGTGAAGGGATGTTGCTTGCAGTCAGTTGCGTCAGAAATTGTCAGTTTTTTGATTCATTTCCACTCGTTTTGTTTCAAAGAGTAGCCTGATAAATAAAATGTTATTAATTGTGGCAGTTGTGTAAATATGTGACTGCAGATTGGTACAGTTTTTCAGTTATTAATTATTTAATTTAATTTATTTTACTTAGCTTGACCTATGATTTAACAATATGGCAGAAATGAATGTGTCATAGTTACTTATCAACTTTTCAGTATTGTGAATTCAGTCTTCTATATTTAAAGCTGCTCTATGTAATTTATTTGGTAAATGCTTTAGTCCATGGAGATTATGGAATTTATTGCTTTGCCTGGAATGTCCTATACTGTGAGCGAGGTCACCTCTACACAGATCTAATCTGTAACTTTTGTGGTGTCCCCATAGACATGCATCTCAATGGACGCAAACAGGTACCAAACTGTCCACCAGAAAAGTCGGAATGCTTCTTTAACCTGTTGCCGTAGATCTTGAGATTGGTGGTCACATTTCAGAGAATTTAATATAAAAAATAAAAATAAAATAATATAATATATCATATATATATATATATATATATATATATATATATATACATTTGTCACGCTTGGCCAGAAACAAAGTTTTTGGTATTTCGATCCTGAGCTCTAGTGAGTTATTTAAACAGACATTTACCATAGAGCCGAGTCTTACAAGAGACAAGTTGTTGCTTTTCTTTTTTGTGCCATGTTCTTATTGACTTGTAAAAAAGATTTAAGCAGCAACTGACAACTTATAGCCAAACCCTGCATTATCTGAGAGAAAAGGAAGTTGCTTCCAGCGATTTTAGTGACTCTATTTGAGCTCTTGCTTCACACTGCAGAGAGGTGATAAGCCTTGGTACTGTGCCGTGGGAAAATTTAGATAATACTTTTATTTACCTGCTTCTCACAAAAACAGACCTGTGAAAAAGAGGGAAAGATGAACTGAAAACTTTTACTTGTTGAACTTGCAGCATATTTTCTTGTGTTTTGTCCTGGGCAAAACTGAATTTGATTTTACATTTGGACACTTGGAACAGAGGCCATAAAAGTTCCAATTAAAATGATGTATGTGCCATTATAGGTTATAGTTTATAATAATGCACTTTTTAAGGACTCATTACCCTGTTGCCCAGTAAAAGTAGTGATTCCTATCCTTTTGTTATTCTGTACAACATCTTTGGAATATGCCCTTGATAAAACACAGTATACTGGTAAAATACCAGACTATACCAGATGTTCCTCTTTACATAATAAAATGTTGTTTGTGAGAATGGATATTGTGGTATTATTGTAAAATGTAAACTACACAAAATGTATATTCGTGACTAGCATAATGTTATGAGAATCTACATAATGTAATGAGAATCTGACTACGAAAAGAATTTGAGTAAGTATTGCCAAGTGGATACAAGCAATCACAAAAGAGGTGGCTGCTGTTGTAAATAAATAGCCTGTTTACTCACCTAACATAACATAACACATAAGCCCAATCACACACCTTTACCCATCATTTAGCTTGACACCAGGGTGGGGCAATGGAGCACTTGGATCCTCCTCTGCTGTGGCTGACTCCTAATAGCATCTACAAGTGCCCAAAAACATATGGCTTAAGATGTCGGGAATATGTAAGCAACACTTAATGAACAATAAAACAACACAGAGAAAGCCCAGATAGACACATCAGGGATTCTGACATAGATGGATGTCACAGTGGAGACGTGCTACAGTCACAAGAGTGCTCATAAAACCGTGATTGATGGGAGTGCCACAAGGAAACCAATGTGTTTTCAATGTACATCATCTTTCTGTCTGACACAAAGAGGTATAGCTACTGCATGAGGCATATTAAACCACATGGGACTATCTAACACCCAATTTCATTTTCAGAACAAGTGGGAAAGATGGGCATTTACATACATAAGGTAGTCTGAATGGTCCTCTGTTATTTGAGCAACAACACAATTCAAATTAAAGTATCTGAATAGGGAAACTTCATGAGATCTTTCAGATCAGGACATAATTCCTTGCTTGAAATCCATATAACATTTCTAAAGGAGTTATTTTTATCAGTGTAATTAATTTCCATCTTTTCACATGACTGGCATGTTCAGTACAAATCATTGACTTAAATGTATAAAACTGGAAGAAAAAAAAGTACACTTCAAACATGAGTATCAGGCACATGCACTGGTGTCCTTCTATCATTCAGTCAGTTTGCATGACACTAAAACAACTGTGATAGTCCACTGCTGGTACTGCTGTTCTTGTTGCTGCTCTAACGTTGTAATTTCTATTGTTGGACAATTGAACTTGCATCATATCAGTAGAATACAGTCTATGATCATACTTTATCTCCATGTTTAAAGGTCCTGTATTACACAAATTTGACTGTTGTGAGCTTTAAGCTGTGTTATAATGCTGTTACCTCATCAAAAACATACCCTGGAGTTGTGTTTTGTTTCATTCACACATGTTAACTTTAGTTCATTAGAAATTAGCAATTCCGGGGCTGCAATTATCCAAATGATTCTAGTTAGAATGTGGGACAGAGTTTTTTTCTTTTTAAGACAACTCAACCTAATTATGCAAGGTTTGTGTGTTAAACATGTGTGAATCAAATCAAAACAAAACACAACTCCAGGTATCTTTTTGATGAGGAAACAGCATTATAACATAGATCAGAAAACAGTGCAATATGGGCCCTTAAATGTATTTCATGTTTGTATTTTTTCACATGTTTGTTATTTTACCTTGTACTTCTAATGTACATTTTAGACAGGACATGCACACATCTTTTTCCAAAAAGGCTTAAAATTCATGGTCAGGACACTGTATTTCATGCTAGCACCCTCTGACTCATATGTAGTTTATGGAATATATTTCTTGAAAATGGTCCAGAGCTAAAACATAACTCGCATGTCAATAGAGGTCAAAGCTATTCTCCCCTGCACTCGTTTAGTAAATGGATTGTGGCATTCCATCAAAAGTTGTGTTCAGTTCTGTTGATAAATCCTGACAATTAATTCAATCTATGAGCATTTCTCTGAGGGGAATCAACACTTGTGCAGATACAGCGGTGTATTCAAACGCTCTGAAGGTGTTTAATTAACTGGGAAGCTCATTACTTTTCTCCATACAGATCTGCACTCCTGTAATACACTGGATATAATTAAAGTGGACTGCGGGGAAACTCATGATGTCAACAACTTCGATTTACTTTTGGCAATCAGGGGCTTAAAACCTACTATTAAATGCTGCTCCTCTATGCATGTAACCCTCAATAGCCGCTTACATTTTTGTCTGCTATACAAGTCAGTGTATTCTTAGACTGCAAAATGTCATATTTAGGTTTAAGTTAAACTGTCAATTGAAATTTACTCAAATCAGGATACAACTTTTTTAATTCAAGTAATTTTAACTTAACAAGATTTTAGTTTTTGTAGTGTATTTAGTACGTTTCAAATAAAACCTAAAATAAATGCATTTTCTCCATTGGCAAATAAACAAAATATAACCCTTCTTGTTAATGAAAAACTGAAAAAAAACATGAATTTTGCAATGGCTTTTATCATCAGACCATAATGCAAACCTAAAGAATTGTCTAGAACAATTCTATCTTTAATTAATGTAGTATTCAAATTTCTTCTTAATGTAGAGTTTTTCTCACCTCAGCCTTTTGTACAAGACTACACCGTATGTCCCGGTGTATCTGGCCTGCACTTCCAGCTCTTCCTGCCTAAGGCGCATGGTGTTTGTAATAGGCTCCTGCTTTCTATTTGAGATAAACGGATGAAGACAAATCAATGGTCAAATGTCAAAAGTCTCGCAGAAATCCCGCCCTGAATTATCAATATTTCAGCAGCAGTTCAATGTAACTCAAACACTGATGAGGTCTTGGCATTTTATTTGCTAAAGGTCAAAAGTGATCTTCACACTGACCTTATGCAACTTCCAATGCTGAACCTGTGCAACATACAAATACACAGTGTCCCCTGAACAGGCTAAAACAATGTAATACAACAGAGCATTTTGCATTTGTTTTGTCTAGAGATTTGTACGTGGTCATCTCAGGGGAGCCTTAAAGCAGCCCCTAGACACTTTGACACACGCACACATGACTGCATCTCAAGCACATAGGAACAGTATGTTTGTATTGGGTGTAATTTAAGTGGAGCATGTCTGATGTGCCAACAGGCTGGGGCTGGCAAATCAAACATTAACAAAAAAGATGCAGTTCTCAAATTTCCATTTCCCTCTAGTCTTTAAGCAGCTGATCAAACATAGACCCCCTGCTTCTTATGTCAG